CGGTATAAAAATGTCAGAAGTGCAATCACATGCCTTTAACAGGAAAATTTCTAGGAAAAAAGAAGAAAAAATGAACACTTTCAGTTCAAATGAAGGAATAATAGGAATATTTGTACAAGAATGCACCATTATAACAAATGTACTTTTCGTGTTGAAGAGTGAACTGGTACATTGATTGGTGGTTTATCACACCATTAAAAAATGATCTGTTATTTGCAAAGTGACTGCAGGTGAATTGTGTGACCATCTGTTGTACTAAGCCTTCAAGGTCTGTCACCACGGGGGCATGCCACACATTTCACCAGCGTAACTTTGTCATAAACAGCATTACAATATTATCAATAAATATATATAATTAAGATCTTATTTTATTTATTTATCTTATAAAAATGTTCCACAGTATTGAGGGGCATAAAAATTTTTGCAGCATCCATTTCAACTTTGTGTGCTTTCCATAATTTTGTCAATTGATTATAAATTTTAAAATAATTTTGTTTAAATATGAAGCACCTTGCAATGATGTTTTGTGACCAAATAGAGCTGGACGGTATTTTGCACTTTCCAGTACCGTCCATGAACAGGCTCAATCAAACCGAGCCTGCAACATTTTACAATTTTGCCATGTTGGGCTCTCGCTCTCTTTAGGGATTCTGTTTTCTCTATTTTATTGTCACATCCGTGTTAATTGTGCCGTGTGGCGGCTTTTAAAAAGTATCCCCGTACCTTTAATCATTATACTTCTTTTTACTTTAATTCCCCCTTCCCCTAGTGTCCTGTCCACTTCCCCTGTGCCCTTTGACTATCTGGGCCTATTTTCAATCAATTATTTTTTTCTTTGAATTTCTTATCAGGTACAAATTATTTCCTATTACTCGATCAATTGTTTGTTTTCTTTGAGTTCCTTGTCAGTTACAAATAATTTATCATTTAAGTGATGAGCCTGTCCGTGCTCTGCCGTGTACCTTGTCCTGTTTTTGTTTGGGGTCGCCTGGGCTCCTTGCCACTGGTTCTTGTTGCTAGGTCATTTCGGGGATGCGTTCATTGAACGCGGCCTTTCCTTGTTGATCTTGTTTATCATCTTTTGTACATGATGACTTCATGTCCCATGCAAGAATCTGGTCTTCAGCTCAGGTCAAGGTCACACTTGCATTCCAAAGTCAATATTTTTTGAAGCATTGGAAGTCATATCTGGTCAACAATTCGGTCATTTCTGGATGGACTTTAACTTGATTTGGTATAAATTTGTTACACATGATGGTGAAATGTTGAACTTCAGTAAGAAGGTCAAGGACACACTTGTTAGTCAAATGTCATAATTGTGATAGCAAATCTTCTTTGCTATTCATGGATGGACTTTGAAATATTTTGTTGTAAGATACAGCATCGACTGCTGCTACCATCTCCATCCTCAGGTGGGTGACACATTCATTGGGAGTTTCGGCGTTTCCCACTACGCCCTCCTATTGTGCGCCGACTAGAGTGATATCAAGCTCTAGCCAGGAGATGGTAGGTTCAGCTATCCCTGCTTCATCTGTCTTGAAGCGGGTACTGCCCATCTATTGGTCTTTCGACGCTCCATCCATGGTTCTTCTTTCTTGCGCTAGATCCACAATGAGGCTGACTTTACTTCATGTGCTATGTTAGATATGGCTAATATCCCCGAAGATCGTTCAGCACGACATTATTGTTGTGCTTGTGGTATTTCTACTATTTTTAGTTTTAACTTTTCGGCATTTTCTAGTTTGGTGGTTCCAATATTCCTACTTGAATAATGTTGAGTCACCCTTAGGATATGTTGCCTGCTTTTTTACTTTGTCTTCTGAGGTCTTATCTGTGACATGCAGGCTTCATAACCTCAGATCCCCTTTCAAAATTCCATTTTATTTAGTTCCGCCCATCCATTGTTTTCTCGTTTAGGTCACACGCATTTTTATGCCCCCGCCTTATAATGGCTGGGGCATATAGTGTACCCTGTTCCGTCATTCTGTCCTTCTGTCATTCTGTCATTCCGTCATCATTAGTTTCTGTTCATTATCTTAGTAACAGGTACACATATTCAACTTAAATTTGGCATATGGATATGTCATGAGCAAATACAGGTCAAGTTCGAATTTGGTTATGGTTCTATGATTATTGGCAGAGTTATCCCCTTTTACTTTGAAAATTATTTGTAATTTTAGTTTCCGTTCATTATCTCCTTAACGGTTTTACACATTCAACTCAAACTTGACATATGGATATGTCAAAAAATGCACAGGTCAAGATAAAATTTGGTCATGGTTCAATGATTTTTCACAGAGTTATGCCCCTTTTACTTTGAAAATAATATGAAATTTTCAGTTTCTGTTCATTATCTCCCCAACGGTATTACACATTCAACTCAAACTTGACAAATGAATATGTCATGAGAATATACAGGTCAAGTTTGAATTTGGTTATGGTGTTATGGTTTTTAGCAGAGTTATGCCCTTTTTACTTTGAAAATAATATGGGATTTTAATTTCTGTTCATTATCTCCCCAACGGTAATACACATTCAACTCAAACTTGACATATGGATATGTTAAAAGAATGCGCAGGTACAGTTTGAATTTGGCTATGGTTCCATGATTTTTGGCAGAGTTATGCCCGTTTCACTTTGAAAACAATATTAAATTTTCAGTTTCCGTTCATAATCTCCCCAACAAAATCACACTTTCAACTCAAATTTTACACATGGATACGTAAAAAGAATGCGCAGGCCAAGTCTGAATTGGGTTATGGTTCAATGATTTTTGGCAGAGAAATGCCCCTTTCACTTTGAAAATAATATGAAATTTTCAGTTTCTGTTCAATATCTTCCCAACAGTGTTATATATTCAACTCAAATTTTACATATGGATATGTCAAAGGAATGCACAGGTCAAATTCGAATTTGGTCATGATTCGATGATTTTTGTTTTGGCATAGTTATGCCCCTTTAACTTTGGAAAAAGGAAATTTTAGTTCACATTCATTATCTCCCCAACAGTTGTACATATTCAACAACAAATTAAAGATATGGATATGTCATAAGAATGCATTGGTCAAGTTCGAATTTGGTCTTGGTTTGATGATAGCTGACAGAGTTTAACTTTTGAGCTTTGAAAAATTTTAAGTTTCCGTTCATTATCTCCCCAATGGTTGTACACATTCAAGTCAAATTTGACATATAGATACATAGATGAATGTTGGAAAAAATTTGAATTTTAAGTTTCAGCACTCGTACTTTTGTGGAAATGTATGTACCCATTATTTTGGCTACAAATATGCATCATATGCAATTTACAAAAGGTTAACACTGAAAAGTTTCAGTGCCTTGAACTTTGTATTAAAATGGTTTGTGTTAACATTGAACATTGAAAAGTTTTAAGGGCCTTGAACTTAAAATGAAAAAAATAATTTGTGCAAACAAATTTGGAACTAAATATTATAACATCTGAAATTTTGGTTGCATGCGGGGGCATCCGTGGCATGATGACACATTTCTAGTTTTACTTGGGGACCATATGCCGCTTTTCATGGATTGGCACGGAAGTGTCACACTGAAGGTTGCATGATTACCGCCATATAAACACATCTGCGGATTTTTCAAAAAATCTAAGTTTTACCGTTTCATATTAAATTTTAAATACTGCTTAAGCCGGTGCTAGGGGGCGGGGGCGGTAGTTTGCACTAGACAGTACCGTCTATATACCGTCCAATATTTTAAATTCTGTCGTGTTGGGCTTTCTTATTTTTATTTCTCTCTATTTTATGTAAGACTATAAGGTATAATTTCATAAAAGTACATTAATGGTTATATCAAGTTATTTTGTCCTTCATTAATGGATTTCAAGATAACTAAGCATCCTTTTGTGGCACATTAGGATAACTTGTCAGACACAAACACCAGGTAAAAATCTAATAAAGGTTATATATAATTGGATGCCAAAACAGTACATTTCTATATTTTTGTAACAGTTTTTTTTATAGTAATCATGTCTTTGTAGTAAGTCAAAGGTCATACTTCCTGTACTAGGCCAATTTGTCTGTTTCCAACGAAATTTCTTTTTATTTTATTATTTATTTTGATGTTTTATGGAAAAAGTAGGAACAGTAGGAGGTTTTAGTAGAAAAAAAGGAGAAAAGTAGGAAGATAAGAAAGAAGTAGAAAAAGTAGGAACGGTTGAAATAGAGAAAAAAGCCTGCAATCAGGGTCGTTAAAAAGGAAGGAGCTATTAATTTACCAGAAAGATCCTACGGAAAAGGCAATTTCAAAATTATAATACTATGACATAACAATACGTAAAACAAGGCCTACTTATTTTTATAGATCAGTTTAAAAATGTGTAATTTATTGTTTAATATGTTTGTATCCTGCAATATTCTCCAGTTCGATTTTTATTTCCATAGCGCGACACGAATGACCGTTTCGTCAAAACTAAAATTACTTATATAAATAGCTTTGTGGGACTTTCACAATGTTATGATCATCCATTTATTGCTTTCGAATTCATGCACAGCAACCAAAAAACATACACAACCCACTGTGTAGTACATAATGATAAGTAATTTCCTGTAGAAGATACAAATGTATGAAATAATTACCGAATTAAAATTTATTTTTCGTTTTGTCTTTTATACGGCCTTCCAAGCGGTTGAGGCGTGGAATTTGTTCACGTTCTCATGCATTAATATATCATGCTGCGAATCACCGAAGGGGAAACCAATATATGACTTTGCATAATAAAGATCGCAGGGATTTCTTTGTTTCGAATTAATAAGTAGCTGAAAATCGAAGGGATTAATTGATAAAAATCGGGTCCATGGACAAAAAAGTAAACAGAAATAGCTCCGCGTCTGTAGGCGCAGAGCATTAAGGAAGTGATAAATCCTTAAAAAAAGAATAAAGATATTTATCTATCAATAATTACTTATATACACTGTTCAAAATGTAATTAACAGTGTCGAAGTTTATAATATATTTGTTTATGTTTGAAGGTAAAGTGTGTTGTTTCTGTACATTCAAAGAAGCGATCTGATCCTGTAGAAACGACAAGCGACGACTTTTTCGCTGGATTTAAGGTATTTTTATCTTTATATTGCAATAATTTTAACTTTGTTTATTTATATCAATGTCAGCTTCTTCTAGCAGCCAAAATGAAGTGGATTAATTCTAAATTCAAATGGGTAGTGAGTAAGATTTAAAGTTACACCGAATTCCTTCCTACCACTGTGTTGAAAAATCACATATGATTGCATTAAAAAGACACTTCATTTTTATCAAAATTGAAAATATTATTCATTATTGTTTATAAGGTTAAGTAATTAGAAGATATATCATTACTTTCAGATAATAGATCCCAAAATTTCATTAAGTAAGTCAGGAAATGAAATTATAACTGTGGAACAAACTGTTCCGATAGGATGTGCTTACAATGATACTTCTTCTCCAACATGTGAGGATACAGTATCTGTGGTTGATAAAATCTTCGAGCAGAATATATGTTCAGATGGTGTTTTTGCAACCAATGCTATTTCTCCGGGTACACGGTTTTACTCCATCAAGGTTCGTATTTAAATTTGTTTGAATATATATATTACATACATTGTATATCAGCTGAAATATAATTATAATATAACATTGACTGTTAAAGTCATTGGTACTACAATTATGTTTTAAGTATTAAGTAAGATAAACGACGTTTTTACACAACCAACTCTCTAGTGGTAGAAACCAATTGAATGGCTGCCAACATGTTTGATTCGGCTGCAAAGTAGCCGAGTCTTATATGATTTTAAATAAGACGCATAATTTTATACGGAATGACACGATTTATTTACAGAGTCGTCAATAAAAACACAAGTACAAAAAAACAGTCAAGTACATTAGCTTTACACTTCGTGGCCAATTTTAATTTGTAGCTTTGTTGCAAAACATTTTTATTTATATTTTCTTTATATCAAAAGACAATGTCTTCTTATCTCCGTAAATTTGTATAAACTGTGCAACTGTCTGTAGTTTACATGTACCGAGATTTAATATCGTGGAACCAGATTAAAATTAATTCATGCATAAATACGTTGTCGTCACCTAAAGGGAAACTGTTTAGCATTTGGACAAAGTGCATCGGTGTTAAAGCTGTTGCATTGCACTGTCATAAAACATCTGATTTTTTTTATCAATATATCCAATTGTTGACTTATAGAAATTTGGAAACAAGTTTGTATTGAAGAAATTTGTCTTTTTAAGTTATATATTTTTTGAGACGATTTGAAAAGTGATGTGTGGAGAGCCGCCTTTTTATATAGAAAAGCTAGGTCACACGTGTGTTGTTTTATTTTGGTGGAATTTTGTAACGGGTCTGTTGCATTTAAAGTCCTATATATTACATTTATGCTCAAACTTGATATTCTATCGTTGGTGATTTTATATATCGTTTTATAGGGATATAATTATTAATGTTCAAGGCATTTTGATAAATCTTTACGAGCAAGTTTGTCTATATATAATTAAGACACATTGTGTCAGATTCCTTGCAAAGTACGACATCGATAGATTTGTACCCGCCCTGTCACAATATAAAACGAATACTACTGGTACCATGAGTACGGATGTAATGGAATTTTTGTGTTGTAGCGCAACCTCTTTAATTTCAACAATTGCGCAGATCTAAACAGACATTCGTCTAGGTAGCATTTTATTAGGCTCTTCTGAAGGTATGAAATTCCTTTGCAGCCATTAACACCCGCTGTTGTACTTATATTGCATTGAATTGTGTGGATTGTTATAATGACGTATTTCCATATTCAATGTGATAATCGCTCGAAGCAAAGTCGCAGTTATGTAAAAGATTATGTTGAAATATATACTTGTATAATGTCTCACGATTCGATTTCTTTACAAAGCACATGCAGTGACATCACATGGCATCACTTATGGTTCAAATTTGTTAACATAACGGCTAATTATACTATGCCATAAATATTGGCTTATTTAATAATTTGATAATTTTCTGTTACGATGCAATGGTCATCAAAAAATGTGTTTCATCTTTGTCTATCTTAAACTTAATTAAAATGTTGATTTGACATCCAATAATCAAATACTTTATAATCAAGCTCACGTTTGTTTACTTTCTATTAAGTTTTAATTAAAAGATTTTAAGTTTATAGATACAGTACTATTTTATACTTGACATCAGCTCCAACACAAAATATTTGCCTTTCCTGTCAAATTTAATTGAAAGAAACAATACATATCATTCTTACATATTTGTGCAATAATCATATCTTTATAAAACAGACACTCAAACAGGATGAAACTTGGGATGGTATGACAACGTTCCCATTCAAGCTTGAAACAGTTGACAAGACATATGACGACAAGGATACCTATGATCTTTTTATAACACACAGCGGTACAAATGCAAAGTCTTCTGGAGACACCGAAGATGCCAAGGTACTTTTTGACGCATTTAAAGTTACATAATGTGTACTCGTATCAAAGAAAATACAAAACAAAAAACCCTAATTGTTGCTGTGATTTAAATGTTAATGAGAATGAGAAATATTTTTGACGAAATCATAATGGTTAACGGTTATCGCAAAATATGTTATTAAAGTTGCACGCCTCTATATTAGCCAAACTACAAAATATAGAAGGTCTAATTTCATCAAGCTTGTTTAGTTAATCTACTATCATTTAATGAAAAAAGTCTATTCCAATAACGGATTATACGGATCCAACGCCTGTTTTCACAAGGTAACCATGCGGTGTCTCAAGTTATTGCAAGAATTAGGGCGAATCTATGGCCAGTATTCTGAATGGATACTTACACTCACACTCAATGAGTAAATCCCATATAATTGCATAAGACAGTCTTCAACCTTTCAGTAAAGTGGTATTCAGGTCATTAAGTAAGTATCGAGTAAACTCAGGAAAGTTGAGAATCTGTAAGATTAGGAGGGGGCTTCCTTGAGGTCTCCTCAGTAAAATTATACTGAATACCATGTACATTTGAGCAATTATTTTGAATTACTTTCGTACCATATATATTTAAACTGTCAGTATTTGAGGAAATAAATGCTGAAAAACAGATACTTAGGGATAGAGATAATTCCAATTAAATTAATGTCAAAAGTTGAATTTAATCAGCAATTTCGATTTACGGAGGAGTGCGCACATTTTATACCCGGAAGGATACAAGTAGTATGAACTATTGAGAGTGTATTCAGCATGCGTATGCGTCTAAATATAGAGCTTTATGAATATGTATGTTTTAAATAAATGCCATTTAGTTATATATTGTATTAAAATAACAGTTAGATACAAGTTATATCACACTGTTTGTATTTTGGGGTACATTTAAAGATACTTCGAAGGAAACAAGACAGAAAAATACCTTCATGGAGTCATGAATAACCATGGCTTAAAAATAACTTTGATGTCGTCTAAGTATTTTAATTAAAAACAATATGAAAATTTAAGTAGCAAAACAATATCTTTAACATTTCTTTAGCGTGTTATATATACTTAAGTAAACGAGTATGGTGTTTCATTACTTAGATCCAGTTTGTAACTTTAATTAAAACTGTAACTATGTTTTACCTCTTCAAACGCCAGGTATTACAGTATCACAATTAAACATATTATAGAATGGGGTTATGTGCAAAATAATTGAATTTCATTTTAGAAATATAAATAATTAAGATTCTATATTTGCAAATGCAGTCTTGGTAAAGACACGTTATGCCTCATTCTTTCTTTTTTTAATTCTTTAGAAAAATTGGTTTAATAATGTTTTAATAATGGACTTTAAAGATTATAGAATTTCTAACGGATAATGGACCTTTAAAATGACATAAGATGATTAAGAATAAGACCATAATTGTTTATTGAAATCTGTTCATTAACATAAAAAATTGGATGCTATTTCCAAAATAAAATTTACGTTATTAAAATGCATTTTTAAGTTCTAAATACCTGTCAGAAGCCTTTCACTTCATTATTTAGCTTCTTTATTTTGTCCTGTCTTTCAGGCTCTCCAACATTATTTTGGAATTCTGGCATTTACAACTACTTCTTCATCCTCCAGTATAGTGAATGGCCGCTGAAGCGGCATTGTGTCACTTTGAAATTTTTTTTAATTTCTCTTTAAATTTCCTCTCATTCTTTTTTTAGAATATAGATTAAAAATCAATTTTGTGTCGCCTTGAAAAAGGCGACATAGGGGTTATATTTGTCGGCGTCGGCGTCCACGTCCCCTTAAGCTTGTCCGGATGATAAGTCAGTCATTATAAGTCGGATTGACTTCAAACTTGGTACGCATGCTGTTTTTAATGACCCAAAGTGCAGTGCACAAGAACCGGTACTCTTCACTTCTTAATTTTTGAGTTATTGCCCTTTGTTAATTTTCATACTTAATTTTTGTCTAGACTTTTTCTCCTAAAGTAAAAAAAGCTATGGAGATGAAACTTTATAAGATGATAGATCTCATTAAGAAAAAGTGCAGTGTACAAGGACCGGTAATCTGCATTTCTTATTTTTTTAGTTATTGCCCTTTGTTAATTTTCATACTTTATTTTTGTCCAGGCCATTTCTCCTAAAGTATAAAGCTATGGACATGAAACTTCATAGGATGATAGATCTCATTAAGAAGAACTGCAGTGCACAAGCACCGGTACTCTGCATTTCTTTTTTTGAGTTATTGCCCTTTGTTAATTTTCATACTTTATTTTTGTCCACGCCATTTCTCCTAAGGTATAAAAGCTATAGTCTTTAAACTTCATAGGATGATAGATCAAATTTAGAAAAAGTGCAGTGTACAAGAACCGGTACTCTGCACTTCTTATTTTTGAGTTATTACCCTTTATTGTCCCCCGCCTTTTCGAAGAAAAAAAGGGGAATATAGAAATAGACTCCGTCCGTCTGTCCGTCCGTCCGTCACACTTTCGTGTCCGGTCCATAACTTTGTCATTTATCAAATGAATTTAAAATAACTTGACACAATTGTTTGTTATAATAAGACAATGCGTCATGCGCAACAACCAGACCCCTACCTCCAGGGTAAAGGTCGCACTTGCTTGGTTCAAGGTCAACATTGTCTATTTGAGGGTATATGTCGTGTCCGGTCCATAACTTTCTCCTCTTGGAAGGGATTTTGTAAATACTTACCGCCATTGTTAACAATAATGAGACGACGTGTCAGGCACAACAACTGGTCATCTACCTCCAAGGTCAAGGTCACACTTGGAGGTCAAAGATTAACATAGTCTGTTATAGGGTACATTATGTTTCCGGTCCATAACTTTTTCATAGCTCAAGAGATTTTGAAAATACTTGGCACAAATAGTCACTATAAAAAGACGATGTGTCATGCCTCCCTACCTTCAAGGTCACACTTAGAGGTCAAAAATAAACATAGTCTGTTAAAGGGTATATTTTGTGTCTGATCTTCATATTTCAAGGGATTTTGAAAAAATTAGGCACAAATAGTCACAATAAAAAGACGATATGTCATGCACAACACCTGCACCCTTACCTCCAAGGTCAATGTCACACTTAGAGGTAAAAGCTTAACATGATAGTTTTTTAAATTCTGTGTTTCATTTTATTTCTTTAATAAATTTATTGTCGCATTTGCAGATCTAGCATTGCTTATAATTTTGGACTGAAAGTCCTGAGATCCATACCTCAATCTTTTGAAATTATAGCACAATTTTATGCTCCATATAAAACTTCCCTGAGGCAGGGACATTGGTAACTCTGTTAATTTTCATACTTTTTTTGTCCAGGCCATTTTTCATAAAATATAAAAGATAAGGACCTGAAACTTCACAGGATGATAGATCTTATTGATAAGAAGTGCAGTGCACAGAAACTGCTGCTCTGTGCTTTTTTATTTTTGAGTTTTCGCCCTTTGTTAATTTGCATATTTCATTTTTGTCCTGGCCATTTCTCTTAAACTATATTGTTCACAAGGCGACACATTCGAGTTGTGGAGTTCTAGTTTGTGTTTTCTTTAACATTAAATTTGTTATAATAAATTCTTTTAACATTTTTTCCATTCGGTGAAGTACACTTTTATACACTTACGCAATGTATATTGATTGATGTTATGCCATAAAACTTATCTGTCAACTTTTAAAGTTTCCCTCACGAGAGGTAAGGTTGAGTGAACAAAATGAAATACCATACTCGTTTAGTAAAGTGTATTTTACAAAAGTTCAAGATATTGTTTTGCTACGTATTTTGATTTTTTTAATTAAAATACTTAGAGGTCATCAACGTTAATTTTATACCATGGTTATTCATGACGCCATGAAGATTTTTTTCTGTCACGTTTCCTTTGAAATATCTTTAAATATATGGATTGGGAATTTTATGTCAATCCCAAAATTCAAATAGTGTGATATAACTTGTATCTAACCTAACTGTTACTTTTAATATTTCATAAACAAAAAAATAAATACTTATAACTAAATGGCATTTGTTTAAAAACAAATATTAACATAGATGTATACGACAAATCATCTGAGGACTTGAGTCCAGAATCATCGACAGTCACATTGATAAACAAAGGGAGATATTTTCATGGATAAAGGGAAATTCAAGAATTTTCGGACTTACAATCATATAAATTAATTTCTTTTTGGCATTAGTACTGGTATCCCGCGAGCTGAAAACACTCTTAATAGTTCATACCACTTGTATCATTCCGGGTATAAAATGTGCACACTCCTTTGATAAAATTCAACTTCTGACATAAATTAAATGGGATCATCTCTATCACTAAGTATCTGTTTTTCAACATTTATTTTCTAAAATACTGTCAGTTCGCGTATATGATGCACTAAAACGTATATGGGACGAAATTAATTCAAAATCAATACTCAAAACTAAGTGATATTCAGTATTATTTTTATTGTGGACACCTGAAGGTAAACCCCTCCTAATCTCACAGATTCTCAACTTTCCGAAGGTCACTCGACACTTTCTTTATAACCTGAATACCACTTTACTGAAATGCTGAGGACTGTCTTGACAACAAGGCGGTAATATTGGAATTACTCAATGAGTATGAGTGTAAGTATCGATTCTGAATACGGGTCTTAATGCCGTAGTAAGTTTATTCTGAACAATTTCTATCACATGCCTGTGTTTAAATCCCAAGACTGCAGCCGAATAATCTATTTTGGGAACACCGCATGCATTATACATTTTTTTCAAACGTTTTAAATCCGACGTATTTAATTCCGTGTATTTTTGATATTGTTTGCCAAAGTGCCACCACTTTCAGTCAACGTCTGTGAATTAATGGAACAAAGAAATGCTACTCATAAGCATTTATAAGTTTCAACTTTCTCTAAAACCCTATTTTCGAAAGTAAAGTCATATTTTGTATCAAAGGCTCTTTATTGTCGGAAGTGAAGCACTTTGATTCATCAGTATTGATCAATTTTCTGCACCACTGAGTAACCACGTTTAATATGAGTTTTAAGTCATTTTAAGATCTTGCAAAAAGGGAGATATCGTCCGCATATAATAAAGCTGACAACTTTTTATCATTGACATCAAAGTCAATGTCAAGGTCGTTTATCTGTGTCACCAGGTCATTGATAAAGATTAAGAAGATTGTGGGGGACAAGTTATCTTCCTGTTCCACGCTCGTGAGACAGTTAAGCCAGTCTGTGTATTTTCCATTTATACGAACACAAGAGAGTGAATTGTATATGCTTTTGATAGAGGTATACACTGCTTCGTCAACTGCGTTTAGAAGTAACTTATATAACATTATGTCACGATTTATAAAGTCAAAACATTTGCGTTAATCTATAAAAGTCGTAAAAATATTCTCGTGATTACGAATTATGCTATTTAATACAAACATATGATCTTCACATCTTCTGCGGAATCCGTTCTGTTCGTCTGCTCAGATATTGGCATGTTCTATAAAGTTTGAAAGTCTTTTGTTAAGAAGTGAACTTTATAATTTGCTAATACATGAAAGCAAACTTATACCCAAATAGTTCATAGGGACCCTTACGTCTGTTATTGGATCTTTTAGTATAAGGCAGATAAATGAAGGCCTCCAAATACTTGGACATAAATACATAATTCCGGTATGGAAAATTAGTTGAAATAAATGTTTAAGCGTTTCAATAATTAGCGAAAATTACACTGTAAGGTATTTCATCGTATCCACTCGCGAATCGTGATTTAGCCTTCATGACAATCGTAGAATATTCTTTTGAACTTATAATGCTGTTAAGAAGCTCGATTGGTTCACATGAATTTCAATATCTTTTGATTGGTTTGGTTTTTAGTCTGGTAGAAATATTCATTTTCAAATGAGTTGTTATCTGTGCCATTATATAATTTTTCGAAGTTCTTTCTCCATTTTTCGTATATAACATTTTCATCGTTCGAAATATTTCCGTCATTTTCGATAACTTCCATTGGAATATTTGTATTAGTTCTTGGATCTACTTGTTTTATCTTGTCCTAGAATTCATTCTGGTTTTTTGTAGACATTTCCTGCTACAAGTGTCTGGTCACCATATTTTTGCTGCATTACTTATACAGAAAGGGTTATGTTTGCATACTTAGACCTTTTTTTGAATGTAATCGCCGTTTGCAATGTTTTAATTTTTATCTTTGTTCTTTTAACTAATATTTACTATAAAATACAAATTTTAGAGAAAGAATCTAGATACATAGTGTTTTAAAACAGCACACATTACTATCAACTTTTGTAATTATTAATTGAGGGAGTTATATCATGTGAGGAAATATTTATTCAAATGAAGACATCTAATTCTATAAACTGTTTACAGGTTAGAGTTACTAACTTGGAATACAGTAAAAACAAAATGTGTTACTCCCATGTAGATCCACATATGCGCACTGGAAATGGCAGGTACATTCAATAGTAATTATATACTTTTGATCTTCTAACTAGAACCAGCTTTTCAACCAAAAAGTATATTTCTAAATGAAGACACACGCGCGCGCACGCACACACACACACACACACACGCACACACACACACACACACACACACACGCGCGCATATTTTTATATTCAGTTATCCCTTGTTAGCGGTACATTTATAATTTCAAACATTAATTAGTCGTTTATCAAGAGTAATTTTGTCCAATTTTATTTGTATCATATTATTTTGTTAAAGAAATATTCTATCATATAAGAATTTCTCTTACAATTACATATTTTACATATCTTCGATATGTTCCAGATCGTACGAGCAACAGATGGAGGGTGACTATATTCTTTACAGAAACACATTTTTTGACAAGAATGAGATTTTAGTATGTATTTAAAAATCAGCGTTTAAGATCCTGTAACTCAATTTTTTATGGTTTTATATCATAAATATAATGCCCAAATGAAGATCTATCAAAATTGTAAGTTCCAAAAAGCATTATTTGTGAAAATGTAACCGACTGTATAATTCATGTTAATAAAGGGAGGTAATTAGAAATTTATTTTCTATGAAGTCTAAGTAAAGTTTTTCAATCAGAAATGAAAGGATATATATCAATAATTAAATGTAATGGGGACAAATATTTGAAGTACAAATTTTACATCTTCTTCGATGTTGGAAAATTGTTTTAGAAGCATAATTATTTACATCAATTAAAATTTCACTTACGTGTGGAAACGACCTTTAGGTATTACGACCCTAATGGGCACTATAAGGAAATAAAAAATTGACATCATAGGTCAGATATATACCTTAAAGTATACATGTATGCACAATTTAATCAAAGTTTACCGTACGGAAATCAAGTTTTGGCCATTTTTCTGAACTCAAGCTAGGATGTTATGAGGGCCCTTTTTTAGAAATGAGGAACCTTTAAATAAATAATCTGCAATTCCCATTATTGTTTGGTAAGAAACAAATAGTACCATTCAGCTAACAATCCACATAAGCAAAATTATGGTTTCAACTTATAGTTTATGAAATATGTATAAAAATGTTACCCTACCTCACCCATTTTTACCACGTGTCTGACCATTTCCCTACTTAGGGTGCCTAATTTAAAAAATCCTTAAAATTTACCAAAATGAGTGACTGTTTTCAAAATTTCCCTAAATTTTTAAAGAAATATATTGGTTGATCTTGTAAAATATGAAAATACTTTTACCGTCTAGTTTTGATTTTATTACACTTTGGAAACATCAGGTACCATATTTATTACTAGATTTAGCATAATTTAGCCAATAAATACCTATATAAATTAAAAAATCAAAATTAAACACTTTTTTCTTTCCAAATGGGACATGAGAGATATATAAATAATGTTAAAAGAAGAAAAAAGAAAGAAAAAAAGTTGACCCTCCTGGGGATTGAACCCACGGCCCTCATTTTCAATGTAGTTAACAGTAGGTCTAGCCTATTTAAATACTCTTCAAAGCGGAGGTAATGCATTAGGGTGGTAATACTTTAAATACAACATTTTAAGTCATTCAAATTAAGCATTGAGTAACGTAAACTGTATTTAACTGTCATTGTTAAATAGTTCACAATTTAATAATAACTCTTTCTATTTCAAAATGCTTCTTTTCAAAAAATATCACATGAATGAAAATCATGCTTACTATGAAATGATAGGTTCTTGAAAGGGCAAGGTATTGTAGTGGTAATTCTGGACCGGTGTGTGCTTGTGCTATCATTGTTCGAGCTGGTGCAGACGCATTTATGATAAATCGTTGTATTGGAAAACAGTCCGAAGTTAAATTCATTCAATGCTGTGATGGTGGAATTATCGACGTTTTAAAAATAAGTGACAGTAAATATGAGGTAAATATAGAACATTGTTAACCTAGCATCATACGAGAAGTTTTATTGTATATATCACAAATGTTTTATTTATGTGAGCTTGTGAGCGGTGCCTCATATTAAAGTAATTTACTTATTGTGTTTAATCGTGTTTTTTAAAGTAAATAAAAGAAATCAATGATACTAGTATTTTTAAACATTTTATAAAACCAGTAAAATATTTGTAGATATACACTCCAATTGGTACCAAAATTTCAATCCATCTATTGGATGGATGGGCAAACGGTCGCAATATGAATGTGGATATATATCTAATATCGAAGGATGAAGATCATACAGATGGACTTTGTGGAAAGTATGACAAGAACGATACTAATGATTTTCTCTTAAGAGAAAATTTTCCCCACAAACAAGAAACTGTAAAAAATAATGATGGCCACAGATTTTCTGATAGTTGGAGGTAAGTTTTACGGTATCTTATCAATGAGAATAAAACTGAAAAGAAGAGAAATTTAAACAAAAGAGAATCAAAATGACCGCAGTCTTTAAATCTAAATTAATTAACAACACCGCTAACATCTACCTTTATCAACATATACATGTACTTATATATCGTATCATCAGTCTTTACGTTTAGCTTTAGGTGCTTTTCGCACTTCACCCGTAGAAAGTCTATATGCGGAAGCTGCGGAACCATCGCTTCATCTTCGTCAAAAAAAGCTATCACTTCAATATGCAACTAGAATTTCATCTAATAGCAAAAATCAAAATAAAATTATTATTTTCAAACCAAGTTATACTGAAAAATTTGTTAACAAACCAAAGGAAATTAAACCATTAGGCATTCGTTTAGAAGATGATTTAGATAAACCTAAAATTAATCCAGACAGTATCCTTCAAAATGACGATGAGAATGTTCCACCTTGGACTTATAATTCCCCGAAATTAAATATTAACCTTTCAAATATAAAAAAGTCATCAAATTCACCTGAATATTTCAAAGAGAAGTTTCTAGCAATTAAGGAAGAACATGAAGATTTTATACAAATTTATACGGACGGTTCAAAAGAAAGTTGCAAAGTAGGTGCGGCTGTCTTTGAAAATAATTTTACATCTAGTATGAGGTTACCAGATAATGCATCAATTTTTACTGCTGAAGCAAGAGCTATCGATTTGGCATTGTCATACATAGCACAGCATACCCATGACAAATTTGTGATATTTTCTGACTCACTTTCTGTTTTAATATCCATTAAAAATAAAAAATCTGACAATATCATGATAAAGAAACTTCTTTTACGATTTCATGATATACATAAAACAAAGTCTGTTAAATTATATTTGATTCCAAGTCATGTAGGTATACAAGGAAATGAAAAAGTAGATGCTTTAGCTAAACAATCATTAAATTTAAAAAAAAACCGACTTATTATTAATTGCTTGTGATTTTAGACCGGTTATAAATAAACTCGTATCAACTGAATGGAAAGCAAATTAGGACAATGCCGTTTTTAATAAACTTCACGATATAAACCCATCTCTTGATGTGTCACCATCTCTATCTCTGATCAAACAGTTCTTCTTCGATGCCGAATGGGACACACTAAAATTACCCACTCTTATCTCCTCACAAATGACAATGACCCTTTCTGTGTAGGTTGTAATGAAAATTTTACTGTCAAGCATTTTCTTCTTGAATGTCATGATTTTTCACAGGGCCGTAATAGATTTTACTCTGTAAATTCACGCAAAGAACTCTTTAATACAATTCCATCAAAAAACATAATTGATTATTTAAAAGAGATAAACTTGTCTTCTAGGATCTAATTGGTTCATTTCTATTGTCATTTACAAAGTTTTACAAAACATTTCAAGCCTATTATAGCATTCGGCACGATATGGTCAGTTATGAGTTGACGTGCCGTAAATATCCAAACAAACAAACAAATCATCAGTCTTTCCTATAATATTTGAATATGCCTATTTTGCATACATGAACTGGTGGTTGACCGTATTATTTTAAGAAACCCTGACACTTTAATATATACAGGCAATTTTTTTATTCATTTGTAAGTGTACATATTAAATGTATGCTAGTAAAGATACTTAAGATGTTTATAGTGTAGTTGGTTATACTGCCTAAAATGGCCAAGTGAAAATAATTTTGCTCTCAATGTCTTGTCTTTCATGTCCTTAAAATTATTATACATGTATTTACCATGGCATATAACATATTTTGAAACTCATCCCAATCATGCCATAGCAGTTTGTTTTCACTAGCCATGTCAGTGTCGCTATCACTGCTGCATATGTATGGATGGACTATCATTTCAAAGTGGAAAAAAGTAGAAAGGCGCTGCATTTTAGATTTAAGATATGGGACAAGGTGTGCTCGAATCACATACCTTTTGCGTATTGACTCCGTACTTTACCACTGCGTTATTCGACCTAATTATCGGTCCGTGGTGAGAATGAAATCTAAACAAGATATGTTTGTAAAACATGTATGCCCCCTATCGGCAGCCAATTAGTCATGTGATCAGCTTATTATGCATGACTTCTGACCCAGTGAACAAACAATTAATAAGGATTATCTAGTATCTACTGGTCATGACTAGTCACAAGGTAATAATTATTGTGACCCCATAGGTTGTGTGCAGCAATTTAAGTTATTACAAATCTTACCAAATAAAATATGCATAAATTTTATGAATCATGTAGGCCTCATTAATGAAAGCCAAGTTGTTATATTACATAAGACCTTCAAATGTGTATACCAAAAGCATTTTTAGTTTAATATAGAAATATTATTAATAATATATAATATTATTGGTCACAAACCGTCATTAAGTACAAGGTCAATATGACATTGACCCCTTGACCCCAAAATCAAAAGGGGTCATCTACTGGTCATGACAAATCATCATACAAAGTTTGAAGTTCCTAGGCCTAAGCGTTCTTTAGTTATTGATCGGAAACTGTTTTTACCTACAAGGTCAATGTGACCTTGACCTTGGACCCCTTGACCCCAAAATCAATAGGGGTCATCTGCTGGCAATGACCAATCATCATACAAAGTTTGAAGTTTCTAGGCCAAAGCGTTTTTTAGTTATTGATCGGAAATCGTTTTTACTTACAAGGTCAATGTGACCTTGACCTTTGATCCCTTGATCCCAAAATCAATAGGGGTCATCTGCTGGTCATGGCCAATCACCATACCAAGTTTGAAGTTCCTAGGCCTAAGCGTTCTTTAATTATTGATCAGAAACCGTTTTTACTCACAAGATCAATGTGACCTTGACCTTTGGCACCTTGACCCAAAACTCAATAGGGGTCATCTGCTGGTCACGACCAATCATCATACAAAGTTTGAAGTTTCTAGGCCTAAGCGTTTTTAGTTAATTGATCGGAAACCTATTTTACCTACAAGGTCAATGTGACCTTGACCTTTGATCCCAAAATCAATAGGGGTCATCTGCTGGTCATGACCAATCACCATACCAAGCTTGAAGTTCCTAGGCCTAAGGGTTCTTTAGTTATTGATCGGAAACCGTTTTTACCTACAAGGTCCATGTGACCTTGACCTTTGACCCCTTAACCCCAAAATCAATAGGGTCATCTGCTGGTCATGACCAATCACCATACCAAGTTTGAAGTTCCTAAGAGGTCAATGTGACCTTGACCTTTGACCCCTTGACCCCAAAATCAATAGGGGTCATCTACTGATCATGACCAATCACCATATCATGTTTAGAGTCCCTAGGCCTAAGCGTTCTTTAGTTATCGATCGGAATTCGTTTTTACCTACAAGGTCAATGTGACCTTGGCCTTTGACCCCTTAACCCCAAAATCAATAGGGGTCATCTGCTGGTCATAACCAATCACCATACCAAGTTTGAAGTTCCTAGGCCTAAGGGTTCTTTAGTTATTGATCGGAAACCGTTTTTACCCAAGAGGTCAATGTGACCTTGACCTTTGACCCCTTGACCCCAAAATCAATAGGGGTCATCTACTGATCATGACCAATCACCATACCAAGTTTGAAGTTCCTAGGCCTTAAGGTTCTTTAGTTATTGATCGGAAACCGTTTTTGCTTACAAGGTCAATATGACCTTGACCTTTGACCCCTTGACCCCAAAATCAATAGGGGTCATCTACTGGTCATGACCAATCACCATACCAAGTTTGAAGTTCCTAGGCCTAAGGGTTCTTTAGTTATCACTCGGAAACCATTTGGTCTACGGACCGACGGACCGACGGACGGGACGGACCGACAAGTGCAAGGCAATATACCCCCTCTTCTTCGTTTGATTTCCCATTGTGGTTATGACGCTGATGTTATTTTTTTATATTTTTTATGTCTGTGAAAAAGTGATACATATACCAGGGACAAGTAGCAGTATTGAAAACTTTTTGTACTACATTCAAAAATGTTTTGTACATAGGGCATATTTTCAATTGAAGATGGCGCATGTGAATTTATTTAAGGTATGGCCATCCTAACGCGCACTATAAGGAATTGAAAAATTGATAACATAGGTCAGATATAATTAAACCTTAAAAGACACCTGTATGCAAAGTGAAACACACTTTTCCGCACGGAAATCTAGTTATGGCCACTTTTCTGAATTAAATCTTGGATATTAGACAGGCTCTTTTTCAGAAAAAGGTCACCTTTAAACTAGAAGGGTTTCTGTCACAAAAAATATGTTTCTCAAAACTATGTATGCTCACTCATGTGAAGTTTCATTGAAACCCCACCATTAGCTTAACCCGTGAAAGCCGAACAAGATCTTTCTATTTATAGCTCTGACGGCCATTTTGTGCAGCACGGCAAAACATGCCGGTGAAGTCCACAACTTTGGATGGTACTGAACACTCCTGTAAAATTTGGTTAAAATCCCACCAGTAGTTTGACCTGAAAAGGCTGGGCAAGATTTTTATTTTATTAGCTCTGGCGGCCATTTTGTGCAGCGAAACGGTACGTACCGGTTACTTGCACACCTAGGGATGGTACTGATCACTCCTATAAAGTTTATTTGAAATCCAACCAGTAGTTTGACCTGTGAAGGGCGGAATTTTTGTTACTATTTTTAGCTCTGGCGGCCATTTTGTGCAGCGAAGCGGAACGTGTCGGTGATGTGCACAACTAGGGGTGGTACTGATCACCCCTGTTAAGTTTGGTTGAAATCCCACCAGTAGTTTGACATGTGAAGGGCGGACAAGATTTTTCTATTTTTAGATCTTGCGACCATTATGTGCAGCAAAGCGGAACCTGCCGGTGATGTGCACAACTAGGGATGGTACTGATCACTGCTGTAAAGTTTGGTTGAAATCCTACCAGTGGTTTGACCTGTGAAGGGCGGACAAGATTTTTCTATTTTTAGCTCTGGCTGCAATTTTTTGCAGCGAAGCGGAACGTGTCAGAAATGTGCACAACAAGGGATGGTACGGATCACTGATTGAAAGTTTGGTTGAAATCCCACCAGTTGATTGACCTGTGAAGGGCGGACAAGCTTTATGCGAATGGACGGACATATAGACGGACAGACAGACGGCGAAGGCAAAAACAATGTCTCCCAAAAAATTTTGGGAGACATAAGTATCTACAATATCATCCTTACGAAAGAAATTTTTACTTTATTGTTTGGGTAGAAACAAAATGTAACATTCACCTAACAAACCACAAAAGAAAATAATTGTTTCTACTCAAAATTTATGAAATATGAATAAACATGTTATTACAACCCACGGTTTTGACCAACCTAAGAGAACCTAATTGAAAAAAATCCCTAACATTTACTCAAATAACTGCCTGTTTTCCAAGTTTCCCTAAACTTCTCAAAATATTTAGGTTGATCTTGTAAAATATTAAATACTTTTATCAACTAGTTTTAATTCTATTGCAATTAGAAAATGGTAATCTGAATTTCCAAGAAGTAGTGTGAATAAATAAATTCAGCATTTATTAGCTTTAAGGACAGTTTGAAGTCTTAAGAGTGCATCAAATATTTTATTTGTCATTCAATGCGTGTTTAAGGTTAAAGGACGGCGAAAATCTCTTCAAAAACCATATAAAAAATCTAACTCAATGGCATGGTGGTCTACCTCCGATATGTCGTCACAGTGGTTCCATTACTGAGGATATATGTGTCAACAAGACGAATGAACATGGAAGGAGGAAAAGACGTGCAATAGATGGAAAAACTTTAAAAGTAAAGAGAAACCAATTGGATATAACAAGAGATTTAGATAACCGTAAAAAGGTACATTTATATGTTTACATTCAAACTTTATTGTGTGTTAAAGAACTTAAGTTTTGAAGATAAAACTCGATTATACGATTACGCCGCTTTTCAGTCCTGAATTAAACTAAGGGATTATTCTAATAAAATAAAAAAATATCAAACATCATGTAAGTCGTATATCAGATAATCAAATGCAGTAGTTCAGTAATTATATTTCAGCATTGTTGAACTTCTCGTGTTTTCTTGTTAAATAAAAATGGTAACCCGTAAGATAATATTCATCGTCATAACGATTCATCAATCATTTCTATACTCCAGGTTTTCTCTAAATAATTTGAGCATTTTTATGTACCGATACATAATGTATGCTAATACAATGATACATTTGCTGCTAGCAAAATAACTTGAAAAATCACAAATATAAATATAGTTTAGAAAATGTCATTTCCAATCCTCTAAACTGATGTTTTACTATTGTGTATCATTTTTTAATCAGAGAGAAACATTTATCAATATCACTGAAGACGATGCTACTGAAATCTGCAAAACTGCTATCTACAGTTCACCTGCTGTTGTGGAATTCCCAGATAAATTAGCCAATGAAAATCTTACAGTTGTCATTGGTCAGTGCGTGTATGATGTTGTAGTAAGTGTGTTTTTATATGCATGCATATTATTAACCATGTCACAATGGCACGACCGATAAAAAATTTATATGTATAATTTGCACTTCTTTCTCTCTCTCTATTGATACAATATGCAAATATATAAGTGTCGAGATATACTATGGTTAAACAAGTCCATTATTCGCAAAGTTAGGAAACGTGATATAATTTATTCAAAAAAAAAAGGTCAAAATCCCCATCAAATGATTTCGTCAAAAGCTCGAGAAAAGTGCAATCCAAAGAGAAACTAGGAAAGCATATCGGCATTACTAAGACGCAGTCATTTTCAACCAAGACTCCAAAAATGTGAAAAATAAACAAAATCTACCAATATTGTAAAATTAAAAATAACAAAATGAAAGATGTGGTGTGGCATCCCTTAAATCAGAAGGTCAAACATTTACTGATCCAGTTGCAACAGAAAATATCCTTAACTCCCAGTTTGAGCATGTTTTCTCTAGACCTCAGCCCTTAAGCGTATCCCAGCCATGCAAACAGAAGCTTGTTCCAACCATCTTTGCCAAAAGCAACTACATCGAAAGATTGTGTAAAGAAACATTTAAAGGGTCTTAAATTAAAGAAAGCATCTGTTCCTGACCTCACGTGTACTTAAAGATCTCCAGAGGTTACCCCTATACTGACCCCAAATCTTTCAGATCTCTTTAAAAACAGGTATTGTCCCAGATGAGTGGAAGCATGTATTAATTGCACTAGTTAACAAAAAGGTCCAAAATGCAAACCCATCAATTATAGACCTATCTCCATCACATAGCGTCCAAATTGATGGAACACATCTTAGTGGCCAATAAAATGTTTTCTATGATAAACCCAACATACTTAGCCCCCATCGGGTCGAAACGAAGTTGTGAGTCCCAACTAGTAAGCTTCTCCCATGAAATTTATGACAATCTTGAAAGTGGTCAACCAAATAATGTCATAGTCTTGTTTCAGTCTTGTCACAAATTAACGATTGAAATGGGAAGACAAAATAATATACCACTTCATGAAAGAATATGTTTATTTTGTTTTAACCAAAATAATGTAACTGCTATTGATTGTGAATTTCATGCCTTTTTTCAATGTTCTAAGTATAATGACGTCCGAAATAATTATCTCTATAATTGGTGTTCAAATGGTACTACACTTAACGATTTTTATTCGCTGATGAGTACACAAAATGAAGAAAATATTTATAAACTATCTCTGTTTGTATATCACTTGTTGAAAAGTACCAGCTCTTGACTTATTTTATTCTAATTTTATATGTTATGCAACTACATTCAATACATGTATACACTATAATATTTATACTGTTGTGTATTTTTGGGCCGGAGGCCTTTATTTACTTAAATAAAATTGAGTTGAGTTGAGTAAGGCACTTGATAAGGTGGACCATTAAAATCAGTAACTTTCAGTGCATGAGAAATATGGGAAAAATAAATGGTGCCTTGGGTTTAACCCTGATAAATGTTAAGTACTCAAAATAAAAAGATAAACCAACCTTGTAAATTTTCCCTATACCCTCCATAATATCCAACCTAAATCAACTCAAGAAGCAAAACACTTAGGAGTCACTTTTAATCAAGACCTTTCATGGATCAAACATATAAACAACAATACATCAAAAGCAAATAACTCCCTTAGATTCATTAGAAGAATTGTTAAACCCCAAATAAAAAGATGAGGAAAACTTCATTTAAGACCTTAATGAGTCCACAATTATATGTGGCCTTAATTTGAAAACCCTTGAGCATCGTCGAAACATCAGTACATTAACCTACTTGTATAAAATCTAAAACAACATTGTCTTTGTTGACCGCCAACACCATACTCAAACAAGAAATCTGAACTCTTAATACCTTACTAGAGGACACAATTTCATCAAAATTCTTTCTTTCCTGGGAGCTACTCAAACAGGGCTACCACTATTATAACTTACGTAAATATTTTACAGAATTTCACAATCGTAACGGGCGTGTTGGGCTTTCTTTAGGGATTCTGTTTTTCTCTATATTGATTTAATGTACAACTCAATAGTTAGTCCAAGAAATAGGTGAAATAATTGTGCACCTTCTGTGAAAAGCATGAAACTTGGCATGGTGGCAGGAAATAGTATTTCAATTTATTTTAGCCTGGGATCCACTTTTTAAAAATCCAAGATGGCCGCCAAAATGTACATTGTACATCGGGCATGACAAAATGGAGTTATTTATGGCTTTAAAATGATATAAATTGACATTGTAGGTCAATAGTAGATACTACTTCGAGAGTGCTTTAGTAGCATCTTAGTAGCATCAGTAGAAAATTCAATATGGCTTCAAAATCCAAGATGGCCGCCATTAAATGATGCTTTTTGGACAAATTTTAATGATAAAGATAATTTATATGATCAACACTCTTCATACATATAACACAATAATAAACTGGCATTTCTTGCATAAATCTGCACACACAGGTGTACACTTACACAGAAAAAACTTAAAGGTTAAAGGTTTTGTGGCATTAATGGATAAAACCATGGGGGCACATTATCTAGCTGATGTTTTGAAGAATATGGATGCTATTGTACACAAATGGCATCAGCTTTACAGGTTGGCTAAGGTTTTGTATACAAGTTTGTTTTGTAAAAATTACATAATGGAATAGGTTAAAACCTAATACATTTATTTGTGAGCGTAATAGGTCACTGTGAAAGGTCAATAACTCTATCACGGATTTTGATGGAATTATGGCCCTTTAAGATATAGAGAATGCTTTTTTAACTAGGTACTTGTTTAGCTATCAAGCGCTGAGAACAGTCAAGCACTCTATGATGTCATACCAGTAGCTCTGATGTGCGTGATTATGACACCATGCAAACTGCTGTTTGCAAAGACGGCCCCTAGTTGTCTTAATATCAAAAAATAAAACACAAGTGCGTCAAAATCAATAGGAAACCGTTTCATTATGCAAAAAACAACATATCGTAGAATCACCAAACTAGTCGAATACTTCTATCTAAGAATGACTGTAACACAGGTTTTTGTGCATCAACATCTGCAGAACATCAACATCTGACCCTGTAGGACAAGGGCTTTAAATGTGTCCTCTTGCTCATGAAGATGTTAATGCACAAAAAGAGTGAATAAATCCTCTATTGTATTGTACATGTATATTTTAGGGTATACATGCACACAATTTCTTAGCTTATCCGAACCAAATGTTCAGTATGAAGTGTTGCGGGAGGTAAGGGGTTCTTCGAAATCCTGTCTCTCATTTTTTTTTAAATGAATTTAGTGTGCAGCATCCTTATGACTACGTGTTTGTCATTATTAACACTAGTCATTTGTGACTTAATATGAGATCAAATTTAGACTTTACAGCTGTTTATACTTAATTTTGATAATTTTATGAGATTCCGTCTGTAAGATTGAATTACTCACTTTCTGACTACTGTGAATGTCGGAGCTGCGTTCAAGGGGCAACATTCTTATATCGCTTGTAAATTTCTTCTTTTTATATTTTATTGTAGTTGAAATGCACGATAAAGCCTTTCATAAGCATAAAATTATATTTTTCCTGATATTACAAATGGTTGCATTTTAATCTCAGTTTTTTGGATTTCAAAAACATATAAAAAACTTTAGCAAATTATTAATCTAAAAACTGTTGCTGTTAACTTAGATTAAATGATTTTTGTCTTTTTACTTCTTTCCACAACTGTCATAAAAGTACAGTACACAAGAACTAGTGAAATCATGCCTACGTTAGCTTATTTTATGAGGTTTATTGTTTATTGAAAATCAATGTAGCTTTTTTATTTTCATTTTCATAGTTTCTAGAACCACTATGATAATAAAACTTAATTGATCTTAACTGGACCATCATTCAGTACTAGATCAATAGGTGTTAATTATGGATAATGTCATAGTTTTGCTTGCTTTTACTGATCAATTTCAGTTGATAATACTTAAAAACAGTACCTTGCTTGATTTAGTATGAAAACGACCTGATGTAATCAAGTATTACATTTATATAAACATTTCAAGGACCAATTTGAATATGGGGAGTACATGAGTATTTTATGTAGAATAAAATATAGATCTGTTATTACGAAGTCTAGGATATCCACACATTGCCTTATGCTTGAAACCGGACGATATGATCAGAACAGAGTTGAAAACACATGCAATATATGTCAATCTAGAGACATTGACGACAAATTCCATATTATATGTGTGTGTCCCTGCTACCGACCTTCTTTGTTATATGTACAACAGCTACTCGCTTAGTATCCAGAACTATTGTAAGAACTAGCCACTATTGACTCAGAACATGAACTAGTTGAAGTAATTGTGGGTAATGTTATTCTTTTCATTCTAATCAAAATACAAATTCATAGCCTTGAATCTCTGAAATTATTATGAAGTGTTTTCTTTTTAGGGAAAATTGCTCATCTGTTGGTAAGAATTTACAAAAGATCCTATACCATTCCAATGACCCAATAAGAGGTCTGCTACATATTAATCCATTGGAAAAGCTACCTGTTAAATCATTGGAATAAGGCACTGCCTAGTTTGATTGCAAGTTACTTGCTCTTGTTCAAGGGCAGGTAATACAATTATAAGATGTTTAACCCCCATTTTTTGTTTTAAGTGTTCTTTTGTTTCTTTTATTGTGTTCTTATACCAAGTAAAAAATAAACCTGAGACAATTTAATTATGAGCATGTTTCAATATGAAAAATGAAACCGATGTTTTTTCAACAGTTGCATAATTATACGATAAGGTTTTGTGGCCATATTTAACTTTGGCAGCCATGTTGACATTTTTGATAGATTATCCTTGTGCTGATATATTCAACAGGCATGTCGTATAATGTATTTTATGTGATTTTATACTAATCTGAAAATGATTACAGCTGAAAAACTAAAATAATCTGAAAATTTTAATATGGCAGCCATGTTGGATTTTGGCGACCATGTTGGATTTGTAAAATCCTAGATCAGCAGCTTGAATACAAATAAATGTGTGATGCAATAATTATAAATCGATTTTATTTCATACTGTTGTGTAATGACGACAACAGCTGAAAAACTATAGCATTCTAACAGTTTTAATATGGCGGCCATCTTGGATTTTGTCAGCCATCTTGGATTTGTTCAACCTAGATCACAGGCCTGAATACAAATAAATGTGCAATATAATAAAGTGGTGTTATTTCATACTGATATGTTATGACTATAGCTAAAAAACTTTAATTTTCCAAAAAAAAAATATATATGGCGGCCATCTTGGATTTTTGGCGGCCATCTTAGATTTACACTACTTGGAGCCGAGGCTTGAATATCATTTAATGTGAAATATAATGAATTGGTGCTATTTTATACTGTTCTAGTTATGACTACAGCTGAAATACTAAAATTTTCTGAAATTTTTAATATATGGCGGCCATCTTGGATTTTGGCGGCCATATTGGATTCGCACAATCCGGATCCCAGGCTTAAATCAAATGGATTGTTTCAACCAACAACTGTGCCAAGTTTCATGCTTTTCACAAGAGGTGCACAATTCACCATATTTTATGCACGGATTTCGTGATGTAAAAACACTTATGCGCCACGGGATTAGCTAGCCTGATTTTATGTGAATGTTCTTGACAAACTTCATAAGATCTTTGGTCATTGTAATTGTCTGTTGTCTTCACGAAAATTATCAAACGTTTTATTTAAAGAGGTTATGACCCTACTATTTAAAGACATACCGCATGCTTCAAACCTTTTGCAATTGGACGCTACGCTTTATTCTTTTGAAAACATCTGACGAACCAAGTGGGATACTCTATGATGGACAGTTCTTAAAGCCCTTTGGGACTGAATTGCCTTAATGTTTGTTTCTGCCTTGCTTCGTCGGGCCATTATAGGTGATTTTCGTTTTGCTCTGTCTTCATTTAAGACAATTAATACTTTTGCTATGGTCATTCGGTTTTCTGTTATATATTCTACATGATCATTTCTGTGTTTTACTTATTTCACCTTTTGTAACCATAACAACTGTTAGAATTTCACTTAGTTGGGCTAAGAGTTAGGTTTGGTGCACCATTAGCCGGCTTAAACTCCTCAGCAGTATTTATGCTGCTGACCGTTCCAAGGCGGCACCACGCTGTTTTCCTCAGATGTATATTTTTGTTGTTTCATACTGTTTTGGTGATACCTTTGCTAATGTCCCTTGTTGTTTTCACGTCTACACATCTTCCCTTTTGCCCCTTGTTTTTTTTTAAATTTTGTCCCTTCCCTTCCCCGTACTTCAAGTCCCCTGCCCCTGTGCCCTTTTACTTTGTGGGCTTATTAATCAATCAATGGTATTTGATTTTGATGTTGGTAACTAGTATTTCCTTTTCATGTATTATTAAGTAATTATCCTATTCGTACTCGTGCCTTGTGTCCTGTCCTGTTTTTGTTCTGAGTCCTCCTATGCTCCTGGCCTCTGGTCCTTGTTTCTTGGTCGTGTGTGTGTGTGTGTGTTGGTGTGTGTGTGGTGGGGGGCGGGGTCTGTTCATTGAACGTCGCCCTTCCGTGTTGATTTTGTTTATTATATTTTGTGGAATAGTCTTCCTCTTACTCTTCAGTCAAACCCCAGTTTAAACATGTTTGCTGTGAGTCTTGATCCATTCTACAAATTCTAATTTGCACACTATGTCTTTTAAATTAAAAGTCTTATAAGTTTTATTCTTTTATCTTTTGAGATTTCCATGTACTTAATGTTTTTCATTTACAGTTCCCTGACAACGCGCCTTCTAGTCATAATCAAATTTGATTGTTATGCAGTATCATGTAGTTGTATATGTTTTGGTTTTGATTTCCCGATGAAATGGGCCAAACCATTTTGTGTTTTTTTATCAAACGTTATCTAAGTTGTTGTTGTGAATAATGATTGAATTATGCTTCATTTCTTTAAAAATTCTGTTTACCATTGTTTATTTAATGTTAGAAAATAAAAACATATTGAAAATGTTTTGTCTTTTGAAGTATATAATTTTCTTTTATAGCATATTGAATAAATGTTATAAGATATTCTTTTTATAAATTTTGTAGCAAGAAAATGATGCGTCATGGGCTGGCGCACATGTTGCAGCGTTAAATAATATTGCTAGAAATATACTCGCATTTAATCCAGTGTTTACGACAAACCATTCAGATGCTGTTGAAACGTTCTTGTCCCATACATGTGTAAATAATTGCAGTGGACATGGAGTGTGTTTAAAAGATGGTACAATACATTTTTTATCATTTCAAACTTATGTTTTAAAAACCAACATAACTCTTTAATGAAATATCAATTTTTATACATTTTTGTTCATAACTTTCTTTGATAATCGTTATTTTTATCAAATATACTACATACTTTTGACCTAATAAATTTAAATATATGCTAAATATTTTGGTATTTTTTCTTCTATATGTAGTAATGTTACACAGAAAAAGTATACTACTCGTATGTTAAATGCAGGATTGTGTAGCTGCACTGGGATGTACAAAGGCCATGATTGCGGTGTTGATATTAGAATTCCGCCTCTAATATTTGATGTTCAAGACGGGGGATATTGTGATGATACAAACTTGTGTACATGCCTGGTATTGAAATCAGACAACCTTTTTGACGGGTTTAAGTGTCACATGAAAACAATTAAGGTAAAAGTTTCTTCAAACAGACACTGCTTTTTTGGCTAATTGTTATTATTGAAAATACATGTATATTGCATTGCGTAACACATTTCTTTTATTTATTTTTTATTTTCATATTTTGTTTTTCATATTGCTAAATCGTCGTTGAAATAAAAAGGAGGCAGTTTTTACAATAAAATGATCATTCTGCTAAATAATGCATCATCTTATGTTTTCTTATTTTACCAGCCTAAATTGCCGAAACATGAAATGTATTCATGAATTATTTTTGTCGTTTACATACAATGTTGAAATACAGTAACTGTTGTCATGTGATTTCTGTTTTCTAAGAATATTTTATGAGCTAGACATTAAGCAGCAATACAATCCCCTTTACAACAATTTTAAGATAATCAATGAATACTAGTATTTCTTTCGCCTACTAATTTCGATTGGTGAAGAATCTTTGGTTTTATTCTGATCGGAACTATCTTAAAGGTGAATTTCAACGGTTCTTATGACGTCATTGGTAACTCTACAGAAGGTGGGCGTTATGAAGACTTGTACACTGGTCATTGTTGCACAATGTCAGCACGACAAAAGCGTTCAGATACCACTGTCAATGACATACAACCGTTCATATACGGATATGACCTCTCTATTAGCAATGACGGAATACATTTTGGAAAAGTTAGTTCTGTATACTTCTATGACGATACCTGTGTTTATACAGAGGATACATCTGAATCGGTACTCATGAGAATTAAGGTAATCTATTTAAATTTTTTCTTCTACAGAATGAGGACTGATCAATTATTTAAAGCCTTTTTGTAAGAAAATATGGACTGTTGTATGAAAATAGTTAATAACGTGTCATCCCAGAAAAGATTAACAAAAATCAAAATCAATGGAAAAAAATGAAAATAATTTTTCAGTTTAAATATTGTATCACATGAATAATGTTATAACCATTTTTGTAATCGTTTCTATTTTGTTGATTTACATGAATCTATAAACACATTGGATTGGGCGTTTGAATTATGTTACATACTTACTTTCTTACTCATTTACTAACAAACATTCTTCCTTCCTTCCGTACTTCCGAACTTACTTAATTACTTATTTACTTTTCTCCTTTTCAGGAAGGATTCTGTTTTGTTAATGACACGTGCATTAAACAAGGGTTTAAACAGACAAGTGTCGATGATGAATCGTACTGTGCTGTATGTAAACCAGAACAAAATAAATTTTCCTTAACTTTTGGTACGTTTATTATTATTATCATTATAATTATTATTATTATTATTATTATTAAAATTAGAAAAAAAGTAAATTCATAATCAAGTGTTTATTTTAAACCGATTTGAACTTTTAATGCTGACAACGCCTTGTTTACGGTTTTGTATACTATTGTAAATCATTTTCAATTTTATGCTAAAGTAACCATATATAAACAGTACTTGAATTCTTCGTTTTAAGTACAAGTGTAAAAACCAAGTCATTGCTGACTAACACTACTCCTTAACCTTTGATCATGGTTTCATTTGCATAATGCATTGTAACATTTTCTTATAATATTTTATGATATAATTGTTTGCTTAAGTATAATAACTTAAGTCATTAGATGAAAAAAGTTAGTAAAAGCTATCAAAAATGCGCCATTTAATCTACAAAATAAATATAACATACTGATGTTTTATATAAGTTTCATTTAATTAGATAATGATGTTACGAAATTCCAGGTAAATGTAACCAAGAAGAAGATGGGCAAATTCCAGTAGCTGCAGTAATCGGTATTGTCATTGGATCATTGATAGTTCTTGTCGTGATCCTATTGGTCGTTCGCTACATTTACTTAAAGTCGTCAAAAAGAATAAGGTATATCGTTTTATTTCTTAAATTACGCTTTAAGAGCTGATTCAAGTTAACAAAGAGTAATTATAAAAAAAGGATTGCTTTCCCCTCTTGTACGATTTTCAAAAATTAAGCCTGCTCAAGGAATAGTATGCATGTATAAATAATAAAAATACCAAACGACTTTTTGAACAAACGAAGATAGTGATAATATCTGTATAATCATATGCTTACAATTTTGAAATGTTTTATTAAGATTTAATATAATTATATAACCCTTTTAGCTTACCTTAGTACAAAGTGCTCAAGGGTGAACTCTGTCATGCATCGTTAATGGCGTCAAACTATTTCATAAAAAACAACAACATCTCATATACAAATTGGTCAATATTGTTACTATTGAGCAGAGTTGTTCCTGGCATGAAGTTTGTATATGTATACATGTATAGTTGAAAAACAAACACAATCTTCTTCTTTTATACTATTAAGGCTTTACCAAAAATATTTTGTATGAAACTTGCCTGATGGACCTCTACAAAAATGTTCAAATTATAGCCCTTGGGATAGAATTGGCCCCGGCCAGGGGAACATAGACTTTGCTTATATGTATATAGTAGAATTAAAAAAAAATCTTCTCTTAAACTACAAAAGCTAAAGCTTAGTGCATTATTTAGTAGACACCTACTAAGTTTGTTCAAATAATAGCCCTTGGGTAAAAGGTGGCCCCGCACAAGGGGTTGTGGCTTTTCCTTTTTATGTATGTAGTTATAACAAATAAAAACTTGTTCTATCACATAATAGAGGCTGAAGCTTAGATATTTGGTTTGAAACATTGTCTGGCAGACCTCTATGAAAATTATTCAAATTATAGTCATTGGGTCAAACTGGTCCCGCTCTTGGGGACCATAGATTTTCCTTATATGTATATACTAAAATAAAAAATAATCTTCTTTTATTATACTACAGAGGCATTAGACTAAATATTTCGTATGAAACATTGTCTGGCTAACTTATCAAATTATAGCCCTTTGGTAAAAAAACAAGAGCTATAGCTTAATTTTAGACATAACACATTAACTAGTAGACTTTGACTTCTATAGCAAAAGTTTTTCCTTTCCATAGCAACCAATGACTTCCATAGCAATCAGTGACTTTCCATAGCTACCACTAACTTTCAATAACAACCAGATACTTCCATAAAAAACCTAATTTTCTGTAGCAACCAATGACTTCCATAGCAATCAGTGACTTTCCATAGCTACCACTAACTTTAAATAACAACAAGATACTTCCATAAAAACTAATTTTCATTAACAACCAATGACTTCTTTAGCAACCAGTGACTTTCCATAGCTATCTGTGACTTTCCATAGCATCCACTGAGTTCCATAGCAACCAGTGACTTGACATAGCAAGTATTGACTTTCCATAGCAACAATTGACTTTCCATAACAACAATTGAATCTCTATATCAACCATTGCCTTTCCATGGCAACCATTGACTTTCCATAGCAACCATTGACTAGCTTTCAAAGCAACCACTAACTTTCAGTAGCAACCAGTGACTTCAATAGCAACCAGTGACTTTCCATACCTACCAGTGACTATCAACCACTGATTTTTCAAAGCAACCATAGACTTCCATAGCAACCTTTGCCTTTTCATAGCAACCCCAATGACTTTTAAGCAACCAGTGAATTTCTAGCAGCCATTGTTTTTTTCATAGCAAACTTTAAATTTCAATAGCAACTAGTGACTTCAATACAAAACCTTTCATAGCAACGTGTGAATCTACCATGGAATTTCATAGCAGGCACTGACATCCAAGGAATCCATTTATTTTGTATATAAACCGATGACTTCTTTAGAAACTAGTGTTTTACTATTGGCAGAAGCATTGTTAGCTGTGCATATTTCATAAACCTTCGATATAACTTTAACAGTTAGTCCATGGTTTAAGATATTTATTTGCATTCTCAAATCTTCGACATAGTAATCTTGTGCATGTTCAAAAAGTACGCACTTAGATACTGAATTAGAAATCAAATGATAAGCAATTTCGTATTAGACTACCTGACCAGTGTCTAAAATTCATCTAAGATAGCCGTCATGTTTACACTACGCGTTACCACAAATGCACGTGAACCCAGTTTGTAATATATGTGTTTACGTGTATAACAAAATTATAATTTACAAGTGTTCTGCACAAATTATTCCCTGCGCAATAATATGCTTTCAATTGCACTAACCTTTTTTATGTCAAGTATACATATTACTTATTTTTTACTTAAGAATTGACAAAGGAGTTCAACATGTAAGAATCATTTTAATTGTTTGGTTTTTTGTTACAGAATTAATACAGAAATAAATAACAGGAACAGAACAGAAGATATTTCGGGACCCGGTCTTCCAGACATTACCATGTTTGATGCTGCAAAACCACGTTTGAAAACCACTGGAATTCTTAAACCAATGGAAGACGCATTCACAAAAGATGAGATGAAAGCTCGACTTTACTTAAATGAACTGGTGTCTCCAAATGAAGATGATGAAATTCAACCGCCGCGATGCGATGATATTAAATATGAGCGTGGACTATCTGCAGTTTCTCTCAAAATAGTATAGGCTACTCAAGAACAAGAAAAAATGTATATGCCATCACTTTTTATGCATTTTTGATAACTAGAGCTACACAAATTTGGTGCAACAAAGCTAATAATTGATTCACAGACGGACAAGCAATGATTCGAAGATAAATTTGTCTTTGTTTTCTATTTCAATGTTCTATTACACAAATATTATGTTCTATTCATCACATATGCAATAAAAAGAACGGTTTAGTCAAATTTTCATTGATGCGCTTTTTTAGTGTAATGCTATTATTATGTTTGTATATTTAGCTTTATGTTTGTAAAACGCAAATGACTTCATGATATTAGTGTAATATCGTGTTTATTAAATAGCTTTATCACATAATCTGCGGCGCAGAAGTGTAATGAATAGAGGATAATGAATGAGTGTAAGTTCAATGCTGAATTTATTGCACGAGTTGAATAAAATCATATTATGCGCGCTTGAAACGCTTATGATGTCACGTCAAAATATATGCACGGCCGTGCAATACCATTTTTACTGAGTCGCAAAATCGGCACGAGTGTGTGATAAAACCATTTAATGAAAAAGATATTATTATTGTTTTAAATTAGTTTAATTTCTGAATACTCATTACACTTTTATTGATCATATATCTGTTTTACATTCATTTAATTTCTTTTACTTTTTAGGGTATAAGAGGGTTCAATTTTACTATCATCATTATTATCAAGCTTGATTTTATGCTTCATGTTGCTGAGTCGTGTTGTGGTTGCGGCTATTGAACGCCGTCTTTCCTTGTTGATCTTGTTTATCATATTTTATGTTTCACTATTTGCATCAACTGCACGTTCTTTTAACCTTTAACAAAAAGTGTTTCTACCATAAAAATATTTTTTATCTGCAATGATTAATTTTACTGAATTCATAGTTAACATGTGTTACAACTGTTATATATTAGCAATATAACAAGAGTGAATGGTATAATCTTGTATATAATCATTCTTTTTGGAACTACGATTGTAACTATATACGTTACAGAAATAGCCATACCTGTAGAAAAGTACTCCTGAATATATAAGCAGTCATAGAAAATGTCAACTCTTGTATTTCTATTAAACGGACAATTGAACTGTTGCAGAATATTAATTATATATACCCTTAATGCATTTAGATATAAGATCAGATACATATTTTGCTGCCCAAGTGATTTCATCTTCAATAAATATTAATGAAACAACGATAGCATAAAAGGCCAACAACTGTACATCAATAGTTGTATTCTGTCAATGTTTAATTTTCAACGTTTTGCAAATCTAGGGCATCTAACTGCTGAATTTTAATTTTTACATTTTTTTTTTGTATTCTCAATTTTCTTACACAAATATTTTCTTATAATATTACTGATATCTTGTTAGAATTATCACGTGTTTGAAAAACATATTTGTTTACTAGAATGTGGTTTGTAGTGAATTCCGCAATAAAATATGTTCTTTTTGGCATCACTGTTCTTTTTTATATACATGACAAACAAGTTAATCAAAGGTCGACAACTAAGATTAGCCGAAATATCTAAACGCCGTATTTCATCGGAGACCAGACACTGATCTCTTGTTTGTGACACCGAAAACAATTACTCTTCTACCTTGACAAGAACTTAAATATGGTTGACCGCTTCGAATAATTACTAATTATCATTGTCACCAAAACATCTTCTGCATGTCTTAAAATGGCCAGTTGTCATCAAATAGTACCTACTGACAATAACAACTGTCCACTTATTACTTCTGCAACATCAGTCTTGTCATTTCTACAATGATAGAAGCTAGTTTATCATTTACTGTTAAATCGTAATATCATTTAATTGAATAATGAGAACTGCTATTTACCAGAAAATTGTCCGGAGTTCAGAATTAAGAAGTACGGGAATTACATAGAAATAAAAAGGATAAATTACGGGACCCTAAAAATTGTTCGGATTTCAGAACTTTCCAGATTTAAGAATTTCTGAAATTTTGAAGTTACACTTTATTTACTCCAGGGTATTCATGACATTTATTTACCATCACATTTTACAAGGCAAGCATGTACAACCCTCGTTGTCTGCTCAGTCTCTATACTTGTACATCTCGGCTATTACCAATAATAACCTTGGACTTATTACGGATTGAAAGTAGTTCTACCACGTGGTGTTAGAGGTGTAATCTTTGATAATGTATAAAGAATGTATATATTTGACATCTTGAAGAAAATAAAATCTATTTCGGTATAGTAATGATTGACATATGTCTGACAATCATAATACATTTAGAAAAGCCCACAAATGCACAATTATAACCAAAGCAGAATAAATATCAACAGGTAGATATTATTACAACCATAATAATAAGTATATAAATGAAGCACTATTTACTATTATGTACGTGGTATTGGTATGATCAAAAAGTTCTCAGCCCGTTATACTTCTTGCCGCTACACTGACATTTACATACCGATATCTTATTGAAGATTACAGACAGAGTTACACGCGGTTTAACTCAGATTAAGTAACATAAAACAGACATTGATCAATAGAGGGATGTGTCATTTAAACCAAACGGAGAAAGTAAAAATTAGAGCTGTCATTAAATATCTCTGTAAGAAAAGGATGTCCCCAAAGGAAATTCATAAGGACTTTATGGATACACTTGGGAAGGAGTCCCCTTCCCATAGCACTATGAACAATTGGCTGCTGAAGATAAGACGGGCAAGAGAACATTGGAGTGATGAAACTGTCGCAGCTGTGCACGATCTGGGTCATGTGCGACAGGAGGCGAGACCTACGAAGCATTGCTAGGGAAGTGGGCATAAGCTTGGGTTAAATCCAGGCAATTCTGACTGATGTCACCGACTCGCCAAAGAAAACAACAAGTGATCTCCATTGAATTACAACAACTCTCAACAGTTTAGTAAATACAAAACCTGAAACATATTTTTGATGCTCTTTGAAGATAGTGACATGGTGATAAGCACTCCTTATATCAAAAGAAAAACGAAAATCCCCGGCTTTAAACATTTGCTTATCAACTGACTGATCCTGAAATTGACATTTAAATTTGAAAAAGGTCAGGATTAATATGCCTACAATCTAAAACTAAACGAGCTTTTCCCGATTTTCTATAAGCCACTGTTAAAGGCTTAACGATGTACGGCATTTCTAGAGTATCCGTTATACAGCCCTTTCTTAGTAGTTTATAACCAAATTTTACAATGTTAAGAATATATTGACTTGCACAACCCGGGATTAGACTTTTTCCTGCTTCAGCTTACGATCTATTTTCATTTTAGCTCTGAAATTTTCTTTTCGTCGTCGGAGTCGTCAGCTAAGGGATGTGTCTCATATTCTTGTACAACTCATCACCAACAATCAGACGAATCTGCAAGCTTAGTAAATTTTTCTTCTCTATGATTAAGTACGTCAATACTTTCGTCAATTTTCCTCGTTGCTGAAGTAATTCCCTAGCTTGGAACCGTTCGTTTACAGCGTCCTAGAGGTAACCATAAGCTTCCTTCAATATATCAAGGACAGACACGTTGACTGTTTGTTGCCCTTCATGTTTCCTTTTTACAGAAAGTGTAACTTTCGTTCGATGCCAAACTTTGATGAATCCTCGAAATTTTAGCTTGAGAAAATTCTTTTTGAGAGGTTTTAAATTCTGCTTTTTTGGAAAATATCATTATTTTCATGCTCGAAATGAAGTTCAATTTGCTTATTAAACATGGCTGCTATACACGTTGTCTTTCCGGTAGTAAAAAAGAGAAGAATGTTGCTTGTACCAACAAATATTTCACTTCACGCTTTACTAACGAAACGCGTGAAATAGATAGTCTTTCTTCCTTTCTTTCGTTTAAAGAAATAACAAAAACATAAATACAATACCAGACGTGCGATTTATAAAGCACAAAAAGAGGGACTTAAGAAACAACGAGATTTTACTTGCTACAGCGCCATTGATTTTGAAACATCAAGGAGTCCGGAACATATGACGTCTTACTATTTTCTCCTTTCCAACGCTCATGTCTCTTCATGCACCTGTCATTTACGCCAGCGTTAGCCGTCATAGTAGCGCCCCAGCACGAAGAGAATGAAAATAGATTACCCCTTTTAATCTAGAAACAGAACATTTTCGGCAATATCCGGTTATCTGCCCCCTTGGGCAGAAAAATTTTAATCGATTTTTTATGACAGCCTTGTGCTAAACCTTACTAATCTGGATCATTAGACGCTTGAAATATATCTCAAACGCATGCGCATTAAAAATCAAAATATTTACGTACCTTGCGCCTGCTCCGTTATGTCATGTACACGTCACAACTGTCAAAGATAAAAATCTTCTTCTTGAAGGTTATCAGAGAATATAAACAATTAAAAAGTCCTTATATATTTATAGTATAGCTGACTGCTTAAATCGTTGCTCTACTTGTTACATTTATGATGATCATTACTTCAAAGTAACATTCTGAGGTCTTTACTGAAAGTCGTCATCCGAAGACGACCAAACCAAATAATTGGACTTCGTGTATGGGTTCGGTTTTTTTTAATGGGACCTTGTTTTTCCGATTTTGTCGGTACGTATCCTGCAAGATGGCAAACATTTTCCGTCTTGGTTTTCTTTCTGGTAACTGTACTCATAATTCTACTTGTTCCTGCGACGACTACGGGTGTTTCAGGCGCTTCCACAACGGTTCCATCCAATGAACTGTCTGAGAACAGGTCAGACAATAATACAACTGTTTCTGGCAAAAGATTTGTAGATTTTCTTTCTCGTTGCGCAGCTGGGAGATCATCATCAGATGAAATGGTGACGATATCATGTTTAGTATGTGAAGATGCTGAAGGCCTAGATTGTGGAATTTGTGATGTTCCTGTAAAATAGGATTAAGTGTTGTCATCTACACTGGAACATGATTCGCTCCCCGTGTCTGTTACTTCTGGTTCCAATGTCCAGTTTCCCATGTTTCCTGCTGTCCCGGGCCAGGAATCAAACAGTGGGGTCCTGTACACATACTGAGTTGGGTCCTGTAGAGTATAAATTGATCTCAGGAGATCAAAGAATGCCACATATGTGTTGCCTTTGACATCAGCATGCCACAAAATCTCCGCCACGTGACCTTCCCATTGACTTGCTTTAGTTCCGGACATTTTCCGAAAGTGGTCTTTAGCATGCTTCCAGGTCCCTTAATTCTATTCGTATGTACCGTAACTATGTCCCCGGTTTTAAGATTTTTGTACTCATTTTTAAAGGAATACTTGTGTAACACAGAGAAATGTCGGTACCCCAATTTATTCAATTTGCAGTACGCAGTCCATCCATCGCTGAAAACGGTGCTTCCCGTTTCTACGTGGCGCTCGATTAATAGGATAAGTGTTGCATTCGATCTGTCCTCTACAGTATAACGGTGTAAGAGCTTCTCTCTACCATTCCAAACACCCGTACCTATTTAAAAGTGATAAGATACTTCTTTATTCAATATTGCAATACATGAAGTATTAATTTATCAAAAAGTCAGTAATAACATTACTGAAGGTGTATACACGAGTTAACGAATAACGCGTACATATCCAATACAAAAGAAAGGTCTTTGGCATATTAAATATTGTATTACGTACCTAGTTTTTGGTTAAAAAATGTACATGTCAAATAATTATGTAAATATATATTAAACTAGAAATGTGTCATCATGCCACGGATGCCCCGCATGCAGCCAAAATTTCAGATGGTGCATTAATTATTTTTTTCATTTTAAGTTCAAAGCCCTTAAAACTTTAAAATGTTAACACAAACCATTTTCATACAATGTTCAAGACACTGAAATTATTCAGTCTTAACCTTTTAAAAATAACATATTTCATATTTGTAGCAAAAATAATGGCTAAAAGTATGAGTGCTGAAACTGAAAGTACAAAATTTTTCCAACATTCAGGAAAGATAAGTTTGTCTAAAATCATTGAACCACAACCAAATTCATACTTAAACTGCTTATTCCTAAGATGTATCTATATTATTTTCAAAGTGAAAGGGACATAACTCTGCAAAAAAAAATCATCAAACCATGACCAAATTTCAACTTGACCTGCCCATTCCTTTGACATATCCATATGTCAAATTTAAGTTGAATATGTAACACTGTTGGGTAGATAATGAACAGAAACTGTAAATTTCATATTATTTTCAAAGTGAAAGGGGCATAACTCTGCCAAAAATCATTGAACCATGACCAAATTCAAACTTGGCCTGCGCATTCTTTTGACGCATCCATATGTCAAATTTGAGTTGAATGTGTTGTACTGTTGGGGAGATAATAAACGGAAACTGAAAATTTCATATTACTTTCAAAGTGAAAGGGGCATAACTCTGCCAAAAATCATTGAACCATGACCAAATTTGAACTTGACCTGCGCATTCTTTTGACGCATCCATATGTCAAGTTTGAGTTGAATGTGTTGTACCGTTGGGGAGATAATGAACGGAAACTGAAAATTTCACATTACTTTCAAAGTAAAAGGGGCATAACTCTGCCAAAAATCATCGAACCATGACCAAATTCTAACTTGGCCTGTATTTTCTAATGACATATCCATATGTCAAGTTTGAGTTGAATGTGTTGTACCGTTGGGGAGATAATAAACGGAAACTGAAAATTTCATATTATTTTCAAAGTAAAAGGGGCATAACTCTGCCAAAAATCATCGAACCATGACCAAATTCGAACTTGACCTGTATTTTGTCATGACATATCCATATTTCAAGTTTGAGTTGAATGTGTTGTACCGTTGGGGAGATAATGAACGGAAACTGAAAATTCACATTATTTTCAAAGTAAAAGGGGCATAACTCTGCCAAAAATCATCGAACCATGACCAAATTCGAACTTGGCCTGTATTTTCTAATGACATATCCATATGTCAAGTTTGAGTTGAATGTGTTGTACCGTTGGGGAGATAATGAACGGAAACTGAAAATTTCATATTATTTTCAAAGTAAAAGGGGCACAACTCTGCCAAAAATCATCGAACCATGACCAAATTCGAACTTGACCTGTATTTTGTCATGGCATATCCATATGTCAAGTTTGAGTTGAATGTGTTGTACCGTTGGGGAGATAATGAACGGAAACTGAAATTTCATATTATTTTCAAAGTAAAAGGGGCATAACTCTGTCAAAAATCATCGAACCATGACCAAATTCGAACTTGACCTGTATTTTGTCATGACATATTCATATGTCAAATTTGAGTTGAATGTGTGCAACCGTTCTTAAGATAATGAACGGAAACTGATGATGACGGAATGACAGAATGACCGAAGGACGGAAGGATGGAAGGACGGAAGGACGGAATGACGGAACAGGGTAACACTATATGCCCCGGCCATTACATGGCGGGGGCATAAAAATAATATTTCATTGTCAAGACTGCTTACTTTTAAGCCTTTATTAGGATTTCCTCGGTGAAATTTCACTTTACGGCCAAAGACGAATTCGTCAATCTCAACTTCCCGGTAAGCACACGATGCCTGATGTTCCGTTGAAAATAATCCTTGAATATTTCTCTCATAAAAGATGCCAAGTCAACAGCCGTGGTCTTGTAGTGCACACCGGCGGAAAAAGATACGTGCCTGAGTGATAACCCATCAAGGTAGGATTTTACAAACATGAAAATGATCTAAGTGCAGTTTCGAATTTTCGAAAAAAGAATTCGTCCTGATCGCAACCTCATGGTTTCTGTTTTTATTGCATCGTAAAGTGGCTCCTGAGGGTATACCGGTCCTTTGCACTGGCCTCATGATACCCGAACATCCATCCTTGCCTTTTGAGCAAGGCATGCTTCTTAGAAGCAAATTATTGTCCATAAACGATTTATTTAAGGCAGTGTCATCCTGGTCCATCAATATGAAAAAACTTCCAGGGATTCTGCAAATCACATATGCGAATTTCGTCATCGTTTAATATTCTTTTTCTGTAATTTCCCACAGTTATGCTTCAAGACGCCATCTTGTGAAGAACTGAAGATAGACAACAACATTAGGCACGGACCGCGCACAGCGTAGTGAGCCGTGGAATCATATAGCAAGGGGATCATACGAGATTTTACATGATAAATAAGAAAAGCTAGTTTAAAATTTGAAGAAATTTTATCTCCTCTACGGAATGAAGTTATACATTTTTAAAGCTAAAACACTTCTGTATATTGTTCATTCAATATGAAATTACTGACGGAATGCTTTTATACATTATTCCATTAATATCATTTTAGTATTGTTTGGTTTTATTAACCGGTCAATTACATACTGATTACACGGTCGATGCACACAGTATATTAATCTTCGGTAGATGTTCGGTAAGTTCCGTGAGATGTACGCTGTACGATGGAATTTAATTTAATTTGTATCTCTAAACTAAGTGTACTCAGCGTTATAGCGCAATAGGATAAATCACGAGTTTATAATCTAAGTGTCACACGTGTTTTAAGTTCGAGGCCGCGTTGGTCCATGTTTTTTTCTTATTAATACTTTCAACATTATTGAATCTATAATTATATGATTATTTTATGTTGTTCGTTTTGATTATGTTTTACTTAATTTTGTTATGTATATACTCTTTTTAAATAACATGTTTTTTAAGAATTCATGTTTAAATTAAAACGGATTAAAACCAGTAAATGTCTTTTCAATGCCGTAAAACACAAATCTGTTCCATTAAAATATACTACAAAAATAAGAGTACTACAAAAATGGCAACAGTAAGGATCGAACCACAGACCTCTCAATTATCAGGCATTCTCTTTACCGACTGTCCTATTATGAATTAACGTAAACCTTCGCATTAAGCTGGCGTGACTTTCAATCCATGACTATATACTCCACATTAATTCTCGTAAACTACACGGACCAAACCGAAGTGGGATCGAATATTTAAATGAGTCCTATAATGTATTCATGATTGACAGGTCAATAAAATCAGACTATATATATAATTGATTTCGTATTTATATAGCCCACGCATTGATACTGCTTATATCATTTTATATATATATATACTCCGGTTTTCAGTCCCGGGGCAAATACGTACTAGGCGTTCATGCAAATAATACCTAGAACGTATGTTACATATTGTTTTGGGGGTACTGTGTGAATAACTTCATACTGATTAAACGTTATTAACTAGTTTTAAAACTATCACTACAAATGCTTAGTACGCATCTGCCCCGGGAAGGAAAACCGGATTATATATAATTATGTGTGTGTGATTAAATCATATTACCCTTTCGGTAGTCCTTACATACCTAACAATTTATACTGCTGTATAGTCACGTTTTTAAATTTAAATAACAATGATTTGAACAGTAATTTAAGTAACAGGGATGACAAACCGTTCAATAAAATTTAATTGATTTTTTTCAGTTTCAAATAAAGGCAAAGAAAATGATAATTAGTATTACACATTTTGCAAGTGATAATGACAACATTTCTGAAGTAATTTTATTTTATATACAGTGAATGAATCTTTTAAGATATGTAATGTACACATGTACTGACATGCTTAAATGGGAAATAAATCTTGTAGGAAATCGCCAAATTTTTAGTAACGATTGCTGCCCTTCGTTCGGACTAACCTGAACCAATGAAATTCAAGGAAAAAACAAGCGTCCACGAGATCATGATTTTTTGGTGAACTAATCTGGTCCGGGGGGGGGGGGGGCAGATAACCGGATATCGCCATATTCTCTAACCCTAGATAACTTAACCATTTGTTTTTGTGTATAAAACTACATGTCCCTTTTGATCTAAAGCACGGGTTAAACATGAAGTTTTCATCCGAAACGGACAATTTAGACCCGTAATTTAAAAATATATTTTAGTCATGTTATACGGACATGCTACTGATACACCCTCCGAAATAACGATTGTTTTACCCAGTCGGTACTGGTCAGTCTTTCATTTTCTGATATAGAAAAAAAATGATTGTCGTAAAACTGAATATCGTTACAATGAAAATTACTTAACTCATTAAACCTAAAAAACCAGTAAGCTAGTAAAATCATTGATAGATCTCGAATGACTAGTACATCTATTTTCACATAAAGTTTTTAAATGGTCAAATAAACCTTAAAATAATACACTATCAAGCGCGTAAGACTCGTGCACAAGTTGTGATCAGTAGTTTACATTGCAAACTATACACGTTACGAACAACGCTTTACTGAGGAAACGCGTGAAATAGATATTTTTAAGACTAGCAGAATACATTTGTAATTAATATACTGTACGGTTGGATCTTTGCTTATCCTTACCTTTTTGAATATCAAGCTTGCATACGTAAGAGACTAGCAGACAATGCCGTTAATACTGACAAAACATACCTAATGGTTTATCTAACCCTGATCTTTACAGAGCGAACCTCTTCCTCAAGATCATCAAATTTTACCTGAATTCAGGCCATAAAATACATTGTGGTTAAACATTTGATATATGTATATGAACCGTAACTTTTGAAACAATGAATGATTGGTATACCTGTGTTTCGGCTTATTTTGTATAATATGAATGGTAATGAGTGACGATAATCTGAAGCACTTCTCTAGGATTATTATAAAAGTACATGTATATTGACCTTGTAGTATTTTCATTTTAACAAGGATCGCACGAAGTTCCGAGTGTGATTAGTTGCTGCTTTTGCCTTTTAGCTTTTAAATCACTTCATGTTCAACATCATTATCAGGCCAATGAAATCACTTTATTCTTTAAATTGTAAAGACAAACTAATGTGATGATTTATACGACTTATTATTCTTAATGATTATTATTTTTGACTAATAACGCATGTGTTAACCCCGCCGTTGTATAACGACTGTTAAATTAGATGTTAATGAAGGAATATGTTCTCTACAATGCTTAACAAAAGCCTAGGAATTTGTTGAATGATTACGTGAGAGACGGTTATGTGTAAACAGCATGCGCCTACTTGCTCTTGTCGTATGTTTGCAACCGTTAATTTATTCAGAATCATATAGACACATTTTAAAATCTTAAAATACTAGTTCTATACACGGCTTTTGCAAGTATGTTTTTGTTATCAACATATATAGCAAATTATGCCGTATAATGTTTAATTAAAAACTGTTGTTTTATATAACCTTCGCCAAGCAGCTTTACATTCGTTCATGATATTGTGCAATCTGGTCTGACCTTTTTCAGCGATTATTAAAAGATAATTTTAACTATGCATGTATATGACATTCGTTTGCTTCTAGACACACATTAATTTTGTTGACTTTAAATACTATTTAATATTTTAACATCTGCTGTAACAGTTAAAGAATAAATAGCCGTTATACAGACACTACTCTGCTTGAAAGTATACAAAATAGTAGACATTTCTTTACTATGAAGGCATATTTAGCGTTTGTAGTAGCTGCAGTGTTATGTGGTGTACAGGCTATTCCTGCAGAAATATCATTGCTAGAGCGCATGGAAAAAATGGAAAACACGGTTGCAAATTTGATGTCAAGTTCTCTAGCAAGAAATAAACGGGGTAACTTAACTTTTACTTTCTCCAATTTTTAATATTATTTTACTTAGTCTATACTAGAGATAATGCATTTCAGAAGAAGACAAAACCATTTAACGATGTATTTGAAAGATGACCATGTATAATTTTATGTTTTTATTGTTTTTATAACGTACTTGTTAAAGAGTTATTTGTATGTTAGATTTAATGGTATTTGTTATAATATTTCTCATTGACTTACTTAGTCTTGGATCTAAAGGACAATTCTTTAATGTTCACTTCGTTTACGTTTCAGCTTTCGTCGAATCAGGCGTATCATTCTCCGCAGTTCTTGATGATGCACTGTTTAATATCGTAATTGGACAGACCATTGTTTTCAACAAAGTGTTCCTTAACGAAGGAAACGCATACAATGCCCAAAATGGCGAGTTTACGGTACCAATGGACGGCGTTTATCTCTTTTCTTACTTTGTAGCCGAAATAAACAATGATCAGATTGTTTTACGACTTGTAGTCAATGGTGAAAATAGAGTTGATGCCGTCGCTGAAGGTTTGCAAGATCGTCATAATGATCAGGGAGGGAATTTAGTGATATTGAGGCTGCATGCGGGGGATACAGTTTTGATTCAGGCATATGATACTTCAAACGTCCATATTGACGGCGGTGCAAATTACTGGTATACGTCGTTTTCTGGTGTCCTATTGTATGCATAGAGACTGGAATAATAGAATATATTCAAGATGTATGTTTTGGACTGACGTTGCTGGTGCCGATCTTGATGTATTTAAATTTTAACATAGATTCTTTAGTTTTTTGTATTTTATAGAAAATTTAAAAAAATGGAAAAAGTATAGTATTATCTGAAAATTTATAAACCTTTAAAATTATCTGTATTAATTGTTCGATTGTTACTACTCCGACTTGTACACAATTGCAACTTTTAAGCCATTTCCGTCAGTTGCCGGATAAGGACCTCGAACACAATAGTATGAGCGATATTTCGGTCTTACCTACGCTTAAAAACTAAACATGTTAACAAAAAGCGATTTAATGCTGGTAGTTGTCTGCAAGTTTATCCCCAATAAATCAATAAAGGTCCACGTAAAATAAGCGAATTCATACATACAAAAGCAAACAATACATTATTAAAATATTTACTATAATGGTTGAAGAAACCGAATGTACAAAATGCAAATCTGTTGATATTTAGTTAGATTTGTTTAAAAGTGTACATGTACATCAGCAGCCATATTTAATTTAAATTGAAAATTGTTGTCAGACATATTTTCAATCATAATTGTACCGAAACAGACTTTATTCTCCTTTTTTGTCAAATATATACATTTGTTTTACATATTATTCTCTGTTTCTGTTTACATCTAAAACCACGTGGTAGAACCTCTTTTAATCTGTTTTAACTACGAGGTTATTATAAAAAATAGCCGAGGACGTTCCGATTGACTATTTGCTTTGTCAAAACTGTTCCAACTTCTATTATTCATGAGATCGCCATACTCTTAAGAAACATATTTGTATTAAGAATGGCAGAAAAATTACAAAACTTTACAAACGATATTGATAATTTTGTCGAGCAAAATTAATACTTTAGACTAAAACATTTTAATTCTTGATTAATGCATAAGGGTGGGGGTGCATCAAGATATCGGGTATATACTGTTGACTTGTTATGTTTCCATCGACATTCCAGTCATTTACCTTTCATTTTGTTTACCCATGAATTACAAATCTAGGTTACATAAATGAAGATTAGAACAAACCTAAAATGTTTAAACGTGATTTTTTAATGTATGTAAAAGCACGATTCAGTCGAATGTTTTTAGACGTTAGAAACACAGAGATGTTGTTAACAAATGCCATTATATGGAGGAAGCATCATGGGGAGACCACGACACTTGCTTAAAACATATATGGCCTTGTCATATCAATAAGTGTAATCAAAGTATAGACTTGTATTCACGTAATGATGCGTTTATGTGTGGTACTTCTGTTTCTAGCATTTACTGCTGTATATGCTTATCCTATTGAAAATTCATACCAAACATTGTTGCAGCAAGTGAATGAACTTCAAAGAACAGTGGCAAAATTGGAGAAATCAGTTGAACAAAATAGTTTAATGGCAAGAAATAAACGAGGTAAATTTTATACAATGTCATAGTACTAAATTATTATTGTCATTTTGGACAATTAAAAAATAATATGTTGTTCATTTAATACGTTATTTCAGTTATTAGTAATCTAATGCAAAATTGACTCAATTTTACAAAAACGTTGTTTTCGAAGTATCCGTCTCACCATATTTGAATGAACTTTACTTACGAACCATGATGATTTTGATTAAGAGAACAAAAGTTATTTAAATTAGTGTTTAAACACTCTTTTTTTGAACCTATGAAATACCAATTCTGGTGATCAATGCAGGACCATAACAATCCCCAATTTAAGGAACATAACGTTTTAACTTATATAGGTTTATTATTTATTGTAGCAGACGTCAGCCCTCCAGTCGGTATATCGTTTTCTGCAATTCTAGATGATGTGCTAAATAACATCGTTATTGGACAAACCATCGTTTTCGACAAGGCATATATCAACGACGGCGACGCATATGATACAAATACCGGAGTGTTTACCGTACCGATTGACGGCGTTTACTTGTTGTCATACTTTGTTGGAGAGTACGGCCAAGATCAGGCGTTGTTACGACTTCTAGTAAATGGTCAAAACAAAGTGGATGTTGTTGCAGAAGGTATTCAGGTCGAACATAATGATCAAGGTGGAAATTTAGTCATTTAGAAACTTAGAACTGGAGATAGAGTCCTGATACAAGCGTACGGTGTTTCTAATTTTCACATCGACGGTGGTGCAAGTTATAAATTTACTTCATTTTCCGGTGTTTTGTTGTACGGAGCTGGTATTTAGTTTCCCATAAACAATAACATAAAACTGACCAATTTACAAGGGTTTAGGTTATAATTGAGCTTGAATATTACTTTATGATGTAAGTTTGTCATGAATACTAGTAAGTTTTTTGCACAATGTCACACCCTATTAGTAATACGAGCTTTTCGAACAGAGCACCAAATGGTGCACTGTTCGCAGTCGTTGCCTTTCGGAGCTCCCCTATGATCTCTATTCGACGCATTTCCCTTATTATGTTCCATGATTTGATTTTATAATAAATTTTGTATTTTGATACTGGACGAAGTATGAAGTTGTCGGACTGTTATACTGCAACCTATTCCTTAACAGTAAAACGTTAATATCTATAGGACAAATGACCCTGGTAGTCCACATGTCATATCCATGGTTTGTAAAATATATCTGTTCCATGAAGCTTATTCATGGACTTTCCAATATGTAAAGCCCCAACGCACCTCATTTGGTCATTGACAACCCAAGTATACAATGGATTCCTGCTGAGAAAAATAATGATAAATACGAAATTCTTGTTATCGGGTCTGACGAGGAATGTACATTCAATGTATCAATAGAGAACTGCATGCTTAATTCCCCATGTTTCCAAAAAATGAAAATGATATTCTGCTAATTTTGACAACGTAAATAAACCCACCTACGTTTAATATTAGTGCAAGTTTTAAAGAACTTCCAGTATAAACATTTGTTATATACAATGAGGTTATGTCTTTTCTAAGCATCAAGACTAAACGCATAAGAAAATGCCGGTCTCCAATTAAATAACACCATCATTATTCTGCTTTGTCTATAGTTTCTATAAGAAATGCGATGAAAACCGCAAAACATTTTTTCTTCTTCTTTTTTTGTCAAATTCATATTGAACACACGATAATGTTTATTTGCCTTAAAGATAATTCTTGAATTGAAATGTACTATAAGTTTTGAGTTGGACAAGTTCGATATACGTCTTAGCAGTATTTATTTTAATAATATAAAATATTTTTTAGTCAAAGAATTATCACATATTTCAATCTGTTTAATTGTATTATGTACTGTTTGGGGTTTATTTTTGTAGGACAGCTAAACTCGAGTCAACATTACTTAGTTCCTAGGTCTGCGGAACTATGTTAACTTACTTGGTGTTATAACTGTCATATAGTTATACAAAGTTTGACATCTTACACATCTGGGCATATCGGTGATATATTATAAGCATGTTAACTAAAACTGTACACGCAGCAAGGATTCTAGCAATAAGATGATGATATGGTGCTTTCACTGTACCAGGATCTCGCGAGGGTGTGTAGTTATAGAATATAATAGACAAATACAGAATCCCTAAAGAAAGCCCAACACGACAAAATTGAATATGTTGCAGGTTCTGTTTGATTGAGCCTGTTTATGGACGGTAATGGAAACTCATTACACCCAATCATAAGTAAAATATGTTGTCAGACAATCAAAAAATGTCTTCTTTCCGTATCGCCTCGTTGCTAAAGGTCAGATAACTGTATTGTAACAATGTCAGGGCTAGTAAATGGCTACAAAATGCTTTAATCTGATTCAATGGGACATGAAAATGTGATGTATACTAGTATGAACATTATTAAAGAACCTAACACTGAATTGTTTTCTCAAGAAAATAAAACGTTTCCAGGTTTCTAGGATAATGTTTCATCTGGATATTTGCATTTTAAAAATGTATATGTCAATTATGTGATCAGCAGAAAATTTCAGGTAACAAAAGGGGGTTAGTCATCTCTAGGGACATTTTGCGAAAATTTTGTCGGTCAGCCCTATATAAGAAAATCATTTTGAAGCGTCAGGCATGTCATTCTCCTAGAAATATTACATTTTTAGCATGAAAACTTTAAGATAGGATTAAGAGTCATTTGTTACAAATAAGTAAATAAGAAGTCATTAACGAAAGTTAAGACTATATCTTAAACCTCTCGTGTCATTAGCGTAAACATTTCACCTCTTATATCAATACGAAAAAAAATGCTTTCTTTTTATTTTCTGCGTACAAACTAAAAGCTTTAAATTGAAGTGAAAGTAAATGAATTGATTTGATAAATCTATATGATAAGAAATTAAAAGCAAAACATTGAAATCAATAATTTAACATGACAAGCGTTTTACACCGACAATAAGCATATCATATAAAAGCCATATCTTATTTCTGCTTTTTACCCCCCCCCCTTTAAACTTAATAAAATTTGTTATCAAAACCCCGCTGAACTTCAAATATCATTCAAGATTAAGAATAACCCGTCCTTTTCAGTCGTTTATCTTAATTTCAGTTTGATTTGAACGTATTAAGTTTATGACACACAACTCTCCAAAAAATCGAAAATCAATGTTGGAAAGATAGTAATACCGCTCGTCAGTTAAAGTTAAATGGAAACCATTGTTTACTGTGCGTTGTTAAGTGAAATAATTTATGTCCGCGAGCTCGCCGGTTTTAAACCGCGAATATACAGATCGATTATACCGTATATGTATTGAATGTAAAAATATGTCTGAATAAATATATTTATTAAATATGAATGAAAACAGGCTTTGCAATTGGATTGAATACGAACAGTTGAAATGATTTTAATATGAAAATTTACGACTTGGGACACTTGTTTTGTTTGATTTAAAAACCTGTTTAAGGCTGAGTGATACAAAAATGTGTCGATGGGGTTGTACAACTACTAATACGGTAAGTGATTTATCTATTTTTATTTTCACATTTTTTTGTGTGAAATTGTTTGTTAAATAAGAATACACAATTCTGTATGACAGATAATTTTAACGGTTAGACTAGGTTAACTATACGACAGTTTCTATATAAGAGATCACAACAGATGGTTTTACATTACGTAGTAAAACAATAAAGAGATTTCTAAATGGGTTTTATTTATTCAGCCCGGAAGTTCATTCTCATAAAGTACGAAGGTATACCGATCTACCGTCATTTGAACACCAATTGTCACGCACACTTACAATTTTATAACATATAGATATTATTGTTTGTAATTTATTTGAATGCTTCATAAACAAATAATACACAATAGGGATTAAGATAAAACATAATATTATCTCATAATAACTCTACAATATATAAGATCGGCTAATTTCCTATTGTGTGTTCCAAAATGATTTTTACCCATGCAAATGAACAGTTTGTAAAATAAATAAAATATTTCAGAATGTTTCAGTCTAATATCGGAATTGTAAGCTTCATAGCATAATGACATTTTAATTAATTGTATAAAAGAAACCTGCCATTTACTTAAACATTTCATTGAATGGGTGAGGTAGGGAAATATTGCTTTTACTTTTAAAGAAAAACGGTAGTAATTGTATCACCCTATTCTACACTTATACTATTGAAATAGCAAAATATATTTAACGTAGACCGGTAAAGTTTGTTTAGTTTAAAGCTTTATTTAAAGGTAACTGTAAATTGTTGATACATTGTAATGTGAACTGTAACAAAAGACCGTACATTATATGTACATTGAGAAGAATTTAACGCAGCGAACAGTTAATTATCAAAAATATGTCTTAATGAGAAAATAATACAAGCAGTATCTTGTTTTACAGACATTCAAAGACTTAATTATTTATTAATAACAAGTTGTCGCTTAATAAAAACTACGAATGATGGCCTAATACTTAAGGCTGTTTCTCAACCTGAAGGTCGTGCCTGGTTTGAGCCATATTTGGGTCAGTCTCGTGCAACTCTGAAGCCACAAAAAGGTGAAAAGTCTACGTAGTGGACTGAAAATTTCTTTGATACATTATATATAAGATTCTTTTTTTTAAACAACTGTGTTTAAAACCAAAAATAAAAAAAGAAATAGATGAATAAAAAAAATTAAATAAAAAAAGTAAAATCATTCGTCATACAACTGGTTCATTCCTCCTGTTCTATTTTCAGACGTACATGTGTAAATGGTGTGGGACAAGATACTGCCGGGAATGTCTTCACGGGGATTTTGTAGGCTTAATGAACGACTCAACACAGTGTCGAATCTGCAATCAAGTAAGAATAAAGTATTTATGAAAGTATCTCATCACTTAAAAGGGTTGAATTTTCGAAACAGGGTATTCATTTCTACATAACATTGGAAAAGTAATCAACCACTTCATTCAGAAAGCAAGATTTGAATCAGATTTCAAAATGATGCGATCTGGTATATAGTTATAAAATATTATCCTACAGAATAATTCAATGGTATACAAGTATATAATAGAATTAAATGGTGCGAACAACGACTTTTTAGAAAGTGTCTAAAATTAGGCCATATAGATAGTCTCTCTCATTTGTAAATATTAATTGTTGGCAACAGTTGTCATTGTGTTTTCCACCAGTTAACCAGTACATTGTTATAAACAAACAGTTTTTTTAATCAATTTAGTGTTTCAAGTAATAACCAAAGAGTATAAAAACCATTCCTGTTTTTAAGTGATAGGTCTACAATGGGCACATTTTCACTAAGTATTTCAAATATTGATAAAAACGAAGAAATATATGCGTAATAATAATAATAATAATAATAATGTTTTGTTATAAAATACTTCATTGGCTGCTATCATATATGAGCCGCGCCATGACAAAGCCAACATAGTGCGTTTGCGACCAGCATGGATCCAGACCAGCCTGCGCATCCGCGCAGTCTGATCAGGATCCATGCTGTTCGCTTACAAACCCTATAACAAGTAGAGAAACTGATAGCGAACAGCATGGATCCTGATCAGACTGTGCTGATGCGCAGGCTGGTCCGGATCCATGCTGGTCGCAAACGCATAACGTTGGTTTTGTCGTGACACGACTCATATAAATGTGTGATATAGGATCCTGTATCTCACACACACCAACAACATTCGTTTTTAATTATTTTGTGGTTTGTTGTCTCGTATGATGCTTAATATACATATTATTTATGGTTTCCATACATCCCATTATAGACTTATTCACTTTAAGGATATTTAGATTGAATTAGGGAACATCGGTGGTTTTATTCAGATGCTCGTTTGTGCCTGAAATAATGTACAGAGGGGCACCTGAGGTCTTCCTCCACCAGCAAAGCTTGAAAATCGTCATTTGACCTAAAGTGTGTTGTGCGACATTAAACCTAACAAAAAAGACAAATTTAAAACAATGTATGATGATTCAGCCTAACTTCTATGTTACTGTTTAGAGTCAGCATTAATAAAATTAAATCTGCACGGCGCGACGACAGCCCGACATATTTAATGGAGTAACAGACATCAATCTACTTAGTGGGTTGAAATTTTCACATAGTGCAAAATATGATATACAAGTGTTTAATGACAAGTTGATGCCGAATAAATAAATCAATTATACCATATAAATGTAAAAACGGACCGATCTCATTTGAAAAAAAAATATATTATTTCGATTTCTTAATGTAGTCATAATCTGGAAGAATTTCGAGAATATTGTAGTAACACATTATTGAGTTCGTTACATTGCCAAAAATTCTACTAAGTTACTTATAAATAGAATACTGTCCATCATGTGTAAATCAAATTTTCTAAGCATGCATCAATTTTAGACAGATTTTTTACAGTTAAAGCTGTAATTAAAAAGTGCCCTGAGAATACTAAATAGTACATTTAGTTTCTTGTAAGGATAATATTAATAATTTTTCTTTATATAGTTTATACATATTGAATTAAATGTCTCAATCGAATCAATCATATTTCATCATTGTAATATTGATCTTGATGGTCTATATCAATAAAGAAAATACTTGATTAGAATAAAGATTTCAACGATTAAAATAGATTTTTAATTTTACATGTTTGATTTAAAATTAGAAAAAGACACACCCGTGTGCATTTACTCAGGAATGCCAAGGTAAACTTTCAACTGTTAACCCTTACCCTAATGGAACCACTGCTAGTCCGTTTATTCTATGCAGACATTTTATAATTTTGGCAGAGAACCTTGACATCACTAAAAGTAATAATGGACAGTTTCAGAGATAAAAGCTAGACTAAGTTCATTTAGGAAATACGGCAGGTTATGGATTAAAGCGTTTGTTCAAAAATCACTTTAAATAGCCCACCACATACTAGTAATATTTTATATGTTTTTATGTTTACAGAAGAAATGTCAGGGTAACAGAGTAGAATATGTCCCTCGACCGAAAGACGAAGTAGACCCTAAAGCTGCTAAAGGACGCGGATCATCGTCATCACGTGCACGCAGTGCAAAGTCGTCTGCAAAATCTTCAAGGTCAAAGAGTGCGAAAAGCTCAAGAGCAAAATCTGGAAAGAAATCAGGCAAAAAATCGGGCAAAAAGAAAAAATAAAGACGGCAGAACCATTTATATTATTTCGCAAACATCATTTATTATATTTCTATAAGAAAAAAAGTGCCTTTAGATATAGAATAGGGTAGCAGTTCACGTTTGAATGAGTAACACAAACATGTTTTTAAGTCATTCTAATGGATAAGGAGAAGTTTTTTCGGACAGACACAAAGATAAGACATGGTATGGTCTTCATTAAAATTAGAATGAGTAGTAATTTTCAGTGGTGTACGGAATCTGGATTGTGGGTGTCATTTCAGTTGTTAAATGTCACTCTTGTAGGTGAAGGTCGACCTATGAAATTTGAAGCGACATTCAATACATCAAAAGGTTAGAATTTGTGCTTGTCCTACCATCGGGCACTACATTAACACGTTTGTACATTTGATACGGCATATGTCAACAGATACAATACTTTACAATGCAACGCAATTTACGAATTATATCATAACGAATATCACTCTAGGCCACAACAATAGACATACGAAATGACTTATAACAATAGGATACGAGATAAAATGCCGTTCTATAAAGCGACTGTCGCGTCGTGTGCCAACCGGTGCAATTGTACCACCGGCTAGATACCTTTGAAATATACCAACAACCATTGCTAGCCGGTGTGCAACAAACACAACATCAACAAATACTTATTCTATACAGTAGGCATAAATACACAATGAACATATGACAGTTTGATATGACAGTTGATGAACTTGTAAATGTTACGGTCCATGGCAGGACAAATTATGCTTTAAATACCAGAACATGTATCGCATGTCGCTAGAACATTTGATATACAGATGCCTTCAGGACATCTAACATGACACCAACGATAGATTTAATGGAGTGTGTTCACTTTGCAATAATTAATTGTGTTAGAATAATATTTTTTTCATACATTTAAATTAGGAGTTTTGTGCGCGTAAATATTGTTACGTTTTGTAGATTATTGCATTTTATACGCATGTCTTTTTCTGTTATATTTATAAAGATGTTTTTCTTTATACATTTGATGCTTTGTTTTTTTTCTGTTTCTCAATATCAAATTACGATTCTTTAAATCTTCCATATTTAAGTTGTGGGTCGATACGTCATTACGACATCGAATAATCTTACTTTTAAATTTGTACGAATGATTTTCGAAACACCTGCTATTTTAAAGGATTCATTCACATCAGTTTTGTTTTAAATCACAAAAATTGTAAATGTTTTCCAGAAAATAACAGATGTTTCAAAGAGTATTTTGTGGTGACAGCCATTTACTTGATACGTTTTGGTGCTATCTTTTGCCCTTAATGGGGATGTAATATAGTGAAGTAAATATCCTTTGTATCTTATTTTCAAACAATTCAAATTCTATTACAATGAGTTGTAACAAGTAAGTTAGGAGTAACATTTATCAAAGTAAATTGCGTGAGGGCTACAGCTTTTACTTCTTCACAATGTTCGATAGTCCTAAATATGTGGACCACAAGACATCGCTAATGAAAACGTTAAAAAATATACATGTCAACAATCAAACAAATAGAAGTAAATATAGTTTGTAAAACAATTTTAAATCCCAACGGAATGACCATGCTCTCTCGATCAGTAAATGACTTAAAATTAATGTCTGTTTGGTTGCAATCTCGTAAAAGAATCTCACACCGATTGCCGGTACAGACCGGAGTGATTACGGCTTTAAAGCTGCGGTCTCACTCCAAGCAGAGCCCGGGACTACCCCGGTAAGTTATTGGGATGAGCCGGGACTATCGGGGCGAAATTACTGTTGTGGTCACACTTGCCCCAACAGCAACACGATTAATCCAAACTAACCACCCATGATACTCTCAGAAATATCAAGCAGAGCCCAGGTGAAGCTACGGTTTATGCCAGTGATTTCCAGGTCGTTCCTGGATGACGCCGGTTAACCCAGGCAGAGCCCCGGTCGATCCAGATAGAGCCCCGGTAGAACCATGGTGGATTTAAAACGCGCGAAAATGATAAGTTTAATACATAATTTTCATTTAATATAATATCTATTGTTCCTGTACTGTGATTTATGATGATTTTCTGAATAATCTTTAAGCAGGACTCGACAGAAGTGAAATGGGGAAGCGTTTTAATACAAACAAGTGCAATCATCGCTAATTGCCGTGATTAATTTGAAATGAACCGGGCTTTGCTGGAGCTCTACAAGGATCAACAGTAGCTCTCTTTCGTCATCCTCTTGGGCTCTGCCGGCATCCTCCGGAGCTTTGCCGGCATTCACCGAGGCTCTATCGTAGCTCTACCGGCGATATTTTACACTGGATCATCACCGGTTTGTGCTGGCAGAGATACGGTGCTTTTCCAGTGTAACCCCGGTCGTGCCAATCAGAGCTAAGGATGAAGCCAGCAAAGCTATACATCCCGGATCATCCGGACCACCCCGGTGATATTTAACATTTTAGTCCATCCGGGGTCGAATGCCGTACGTTCCCGGATCATCCCGGGCGTTGCCGGCAGAGTTACGGATGTACTCCGGTTGTTACCGTTCGTACCCCGGTCGTGTTTGTATCATCCCGGACGTCTTAGGGGCTCTGTTGGGATGTAAGTATGCAGCTTAACGAGTCTTTAAGGCGTCAGTTAAAGCACGATACTTGCCTTACACAGGGTGTATCATACATCTTTTTCTAGTACCATTGTAAGCAGCAGATAATCCGGCAGATATGCAAGAATATGCATCATTACACTCAATACACATCAAACACACACACACACACACACACGCACACGCACGCACACACACACACACACACACACATATATATATATATATATATATATATATATATATATATATATATATATATATATTTCATAAAGGGCTCTCTCTTCTATGAGACATATAATTGAATATTAAAATTCAAAACTTATTTTAAATTGCAAAGTTACTCTAGATATAACAAATAAAATAAAATTTCCTCTACTATTGTTGTCCGCCTACTTCACTCCCTATATTTAGTAAACTGCAATATATTACTTAAACTCTCTCTTAAATTCATTTTTCTGATGTTAATGTTTTGTTCCCTATTGGCGGTCGTTTGTATCGTTAAAATTTGTGTATGCACCTGTGTTACGAACTCTGGGGTCCAAATCTGACACCAAAGTGTGTTACCAAAGTGCGTAATGCACTATGGGGCTGGACCCCTTAGTTTGTAACACACCATGGACCCCAAAAGGCGTTTGACACCAAAGTGCGGTGTAACAGAGCACACCATAATTTAATTATGCGAATGCAATCTGTTTAACAAATCTGACCTAGATACATGTAAATTGTTTTGCTGTGAAAAAACAAATGATTATAACAGTCTGCAATTAGTTAATGGATATAAATTACATCCCTCTGGGACAGAGACGTTTCTGAATAAATATCACTCAGTGACTGCGGGAATTAAAAAATGAGACATTTATAAATAAATTAAAGCCAAAGCAAATATTTTATCTAGAAATGACAGGAATTATTTACCGTAGGCAAGACTAAAACAAATATTGGTTTAAAACGTCTGTAAGCATTTTTACGTTAAAGAACATACGAATGTATAAATGATATACAACAAACAACAAAACTTAAATGTATTGGTGGCTGTTTTATTATATTTGATTCCAAAAGTGTTAGTCACAAATTTACAAAAATGTTACTTTTAAAATGAAAATTATAAATGCAAGTGTGTAACAAGCTTTCTTCTGTTGATATCATTTGACAATTTGATGTGACCTACACATTTAGAACTTTTGATTGACATACTGTTTTTAAAATGCCACCAAAAAAGCAAAGGGGAGCAAAGTTACGTTACAAAAGTTATATATAAAGTTATATGTGATAAAGAATATTTCTATACAATTTACAAATGTTATAATTATGACACAAGACCACAGTTATTTTCCAATGTTTGCCCACAATAAATGTAGTCTTGGCCTGTTGTTTCCGTGTTTAATATTGATTCTGGAAGGAGCTGTAACATAGAATGCCCCTGGTATTTAACACACATGAATACACCAGTGGTACGAAAAAAGAATTTAATGTTTCAGAAAAAACTACCCTCTATTTAGAAAAGGGGTTTCGTCGTTTAGCAACAATTTTATGCATGCACTAATCAATGATAAGGAATATACCAATATATTTCTTTCATATAGATATTTGGAAATAACTGTTTCCAAAATTTCAACAATAAATTTGTAAAATGCATACAGAAGATATGTATGTTTCTATTCTATGTAAATAAGGGTCAATCTGACCGTTGAGCCATCAAAAGCAGTTTTTGATGTTTAGTTCGGACCTTACACATGTGACCAGTCATGTCCTTAAATGGTAAATTTTAAAGCACGATGTGGTGATGATCTATCCACATTCAATTTCCACAGAGCATCGGCCAAACATATGACTTTTGAGTCCAAAGTAGGTCTCTTAGTCACTGTACAGCGGCCATGTACAGTAACCTAAAAACAACAAATATAGATAGATAGTTTATTTAACAAAAGGTTACAGCAAATGAATTTACACATTAGAATACTCTTATACAATCTGCAAAACAATAAGCCAATGGGGGCTTTAAACTAAAAAATAAAAACAGTTAAAATTTTTTATAAAAATATAAAAAAACATTAAAAAAGGAAAAAAAAATAACGTTTCACGCCCCCCCCCCCCCCCCCCCCCCGGTTTTTTTTTTTTTTTTTTTTTCAAAAAACCCAATATAAAAAAGAAAATCGTCCCTTTAAGAGTTTTGCATGTATAACATTTTCTTTCATTTCTAGGTATTTTATTTGGTTTGTGTCATCGGCCTATTTCAATTGTTTAACCGGAATTATGTTAATGCGATTTGAAATTTAACCGCATGTATCTTTTTTAAGTATTCTTTAAATCCAAACTCTGCAGATAACCTGTAAGAAGATGCCTGAAATAAGCATGAATGTTTTCAAACTTCTTCATTTACGCAAAGCCCTAAATTTCACATCCGTTATTCAAAATTTGAAGATAAGGTTATCAAAAAAGTTCTAAAACATGTTTCATTTGAAGATCTGTGATTTTTTGTAAATACAGTTTCAGAAAATAGATTGATCTTACTGCCTGGCCGGCTTACGCATCATATGTAGGATTAGAAAATACCTATATAAGAAAACCTGAAAACAATTTCTAAATCTGTTCCACCATACTTGAAAATTAAATTCGTTCTATTTCTGCCACTTTTTTGAATTTCATTACCTTTGTTTTACTAGAAATAACTGGAAGTCTCCATTTTTCGCAATAATCTTTTAAGATGTCGAGCCCTTTTTGAAGTCCCAATTCAGTTTCAGATACTATTTCTATATTATCTGCATATAATAGTTAAAACAATTTAAACGTATCTATATCTACACCTTTAAATCCGTTTAATATCAAAGTTTCTTCCAAGTCATTCAATACATTGCAAACAGAAAGGGACAGACAGTTCCCTTGACGGACCCCCAATTTAAAAGGAAAATCATTACTTAGCGTATTGTTTATCTTTATTTTTGATTTTATAGATGAGAACATTGACTTAAGAGTTTGTAAAAGGTTTTCTTCAAATCCCAAGTTGAATCAATTTCAGCCATAAGTTTTCACTTACAACAAAATAAAAGACTTTTGTGAAATCAATATAACATACAACTGTTTATTTTTGTTCAGCATATGAGTAATCAGTTCATATAATACGAAAATGTTGTCGGTGGTCTGGACCCCGACTTGGCCACAATGTATACATTATAATATTCTGACCATTTAGTTAATCTTGTGTTTAAAATACGTGTGTATAGATTGCCTAAAGTACTAAGCAATGTTATTCCATGATAATTTTCTGGAAGATCTGGGTCTCCTTTCTTGAACAAAGGGATAATAAAACCGTTTGACCAGCATTCAGGAAAACACCCATTTCCTTAAAGTTTATTA